GACACTGTGACATGCTGCCCAGATCCTCTTCAGAATGACTTATTACCCAGCTGCTGGAAGTGCTGTTGGCAGACAGTCCACAGCTGTCACCATCTTCAAGAAAGGCCACAGCTGAAGAGGGGCTCACCCAAGGTCATGAAGTCTTCCAAGGACAGCCATATCCATGACTGAGCCATGTGACGCTCTCAAGGCCTGGGCACCTTGTCCCATTCGGGACTGTCCCAGAGGCCACTTGAGGTCCGGCACTCGTGTCCTACTTCCTTCTGCTCCTTCCCGTAGGCCTTCAGCCCAACGGCATAGCCTAACAGGTGACCTGCAGCCTGCCCTCCCCCTCAGAGCCTCTGTGTGAAGATCACAGCCTGCAGCAAAGGCAGCCCATGGTCTGGCTCCCCCAGTGCCCCTCTGACTTCAGGGCGCATCAGTCTCCTGTGCTTGCTCATCAAGTCCAGCCTCTGAGGTGTCCTCCAGGATTGGCACCCTTCTGCCATCAGGCCCCGGCATAGCTCTCCCTCTGCCTCCAACACACTGTCCTCCTTCCTTCCAGTGCTACTCAGATGGCACCTTCTACGTAAGCCTACACAGACCTACGGGCTAGGGAGCAGGAGAAGGGTTTCAAGTAGGAGCTGTTCTTTTTCTCAAGTATTAGCTTATCCTTCTGGGTACACATTTCCTTTTGAATAAATGACTTTGGTTATATAAGAAAGAGTTTGACAATTGCTGTTTTAAATACATGACGACAATGCAATGGTTAGGAACACAGGCTTCAGGCTCAAACAGAGCCTGACTTGAATGTCCCAGCACCATACTCCACAGACACCAGCCTGGGCCTCTTGGCCTTCTTTCTTTATCTGTGAAGTAGGGGTAATGATATTACAGTCCTCCTCAGAATGGTTCTGAGTTTAAGTGACCTCAGGTGAGTAACAGACTATGAAAATAACAAAGATCCATGTAAATATGAGGAGATATGGAGGTGGTCCTAAGAAACCCCACGCACCAAAAACTCCCCTGGAGCATACCTGCACCCTGGCTTGCAAATCAGGGTCCCAGGAAATCATCTTCTCAGCTTTGTTCAACCCTGAGCTGATAACTTTCATCAGAGTAGAGAAGACTGATCCCAACGAGCAGTGTCACCCCGAGGACACAGTGACAGCCTAAATGCTCAGGTCAGAGCAATGGAGGGAAGAAACTTTTCAATTCATCACATGGACAGTATCTTGACATCTATGCTTATGCTAACTGGGGACACAGCAGAGTAGTTGCCAACCAAGACCAGGTGATTACGTGGAACAAAGCCCTAATTTTTTGCTCTTTTGCACTGACTTTAATTACTTCTGAGTTTAATCTTTAAGGCCCAATGTAGAAAAAAAAAAACACTCAAGATTTCAAATATCTAAGTCTATATATGTTTGTTCATCAGAAGAGCTTCAAACTTTAAAACCAGCCCTATGTCTAGTTAAGATTAGAGGCCTAAACCTTTTCATGTATTTTCAACACGAAGATTTTATATTTGCTTGTTTTAATGAAACAAATTAATTTTACTTGGCTTAAAAATAAAACAATAATTCCTCCAAAACCTCAACTATTCTTTGTGCTTTCATTCATTTTTTTATTTAGTAGCATGAAACATCTTTGCCCACAACCTCAAATCCATAGGCTGATTTCAGAGTTATGCTGGAAGCCCACCCTGCAAGCAGAGGAGAGAGAATACCTCTAAGCTTGAACTAATGAGAACCACAAAAGCCCATCATTTTCCATTACATTATGGATTTAGCTGCAGACCCCACCTTTGTCACTTTCTTTATTTCTATGGAGAGAATCCTTTAGGCCAGTGGCTAGAAGGATGAACAACAATGTCCATTTTAGCAATATCATTAAAACTATCATTTTGTAATTATACATTAAAATGTTAATAACATTTATTGAAAATGATAACAATAATAATGCTAGAGCAATGAGGAGAGCTGACAATGAACACACAGAGAGTTTGCCAAAAGTCCCTGTTACCATGTGATTGGAAGGTGGCCCTTAGTGCCAGTGGAGATAGATGAGGAGCAGGTTACCCCAACCCTACAGCTGCATCTCTTGTATGCAAAATTCCTGCCTGGGGTAAGGCAAATTTGGGAAGCTATCCTCTATTCTCATAGGAGTGTGTGTGTGTGTGTGTGTGTGTGTGTGTGTGTGAGAGAGAGAGAGAGAGAGAGAGAGAGTATACTGTACATTTCCCTTTGGGAAAATAGTGGTGCAAGAGATCATTCAGGTCTTCTTTAGAGTAATAATCTGCTAGAAATCACCTGAACACTTCCATGTCCTCATTAGAGGATATTATGCATTCCTTCGATTTTTTTTCATAGCTTTATACAACTTAATATTCAGACTAGGGAAGCTGGAAACTTCCTCCAGATCAAACAGCTCCTTAAATCTATCTACAAATTTATTTTCTTTTTCCAACCTGAACTTCATGGCCCAGAGGACGATGGTCGTTTCTTTGCACAGATGGTCAAAAGTAAGGAGGAGGTCTTCTAGGAACGGGTGGGCATAAACAACATCCGCTGCCAGGACATAGTCAAAACTATTGGAGGCCCTGGGGAAGTTTCTATCTAAAGCTACTCCCCAGGAGAGTTCCTTAACCTGAGGCAAATGCTTGCATTTCATTTTGGTGTTGCAGGAAATATTATACTGCAGGTTTCCAAGTAACTCAGGTAAGTCTGTCGCAGTCACACGAGCACCTGTAAAACAAAAGATTGGTAGAAAAAGTAATTCTATGGAATAGGGTCCCACTATCAGCTGACAAGCTGACATGCACTCTGCTATTCTGCTTAATTGCTAGTCCCAAAGAAAAGTCTGGCCAGCACATATTGAAAGATGATCCCTTTCAGAATGGATGCTAAGGTGGCCTCTGTCTGTGATATTCTTGCACACCATGGAACTTTTCTGTTCTCCTAGTTTTTTGTCTCAGTTGTTGTTGTTGTTTTCTATTTATGTAGTACATGTTAGGAGAAAAATAACTCAAAGAGATATTCAAAATCTTTAGTGCCCTGATTAGAATAATCTAAAGTCATGGGTGAAGGAGAAATAAGTTCTTCCCTAAAAGATCTCTGGGCTTCAGTCATGTGAGTCCAAGTGGGTGCATGTCACATTTCCTGCAGGTAAACAGGAAATGCTCAGGTCAGAGCAATGGAGGGAAGAAAACTTTTCAATGCATCACATGGACCGCTTATGCTAAGTTTTCAACTTGACTCCATCACAAGTGTAAATCTTCCCATCATGACCTGTCTAAAACCCATCCATAACATAAATGCAATGGTCATAAAGTCAAAGATCATAGATGCAGGAAAAATGTTTAGATTAAAGGGATAGAAAGAATTCCCAAGTTATAAGTATACAGCAGCGATCATTTTCAGGCAGGAATTTGGTAGGAACAAATTTATAGAAATTTCATTCTTAAAGAGAACTTTGAACAGTATCAGACCTGAAAATAATCTAAATAAAATTAGAGATGGCTAAAACCACAGCATCAGACAAGCACAGGCCGGAATACGAAATGGGAAAGCAAAGCTGGAAGAGAAGTCTAGTGTCGCTCGGAATAAATGAGAATCCATCCCTTAGCCACAATGTCAAGTTTCTCTTAACACTGATCAGGAATGTTTTGTAAAAAGTATAAAAATGGGAGGGAAATATGCACATAATTGGCAAAATCACAGAAATATGAACCTCCACATTCTAGCGTGTGTGAAATCGGTCATTTTCAACAAATATTTTTAAATCCCAAGATCAGGAATGTGCCCTGCCAATACTAAGTATAAACTGTTAATTTTTTTTTTTTTTTTTTTTTTTTTTTTTTAATTTTTTATTGTGGGTTGTTCAAAACATTACAAATTTCTTGACATATCATATTCCACACTTTGATTCTAGTGGGTTATGAACTCCCACCTTCACCCCATACACAGATTGCAGATTCACATCAGTTACACATCCATTGATTTACAAATTGCCATACTAGTGTCTGTTGTGCTCCGCTGCCTTTCCCATCATCCACCCTCCCCCCTCCCCACCTCTCCCCTCCCCTCCCCTCCTCTCTCTCTACCTAAACTGTTAATTTTGAGAACTTTGTGTCTAGAGAGATAAGCACCACCACTCTGAGAATACTGACTAAACAAGACCTCCATCTTTTGATGTTTGTTCCAAGTTAGACAAACTCACTGAAGGGATCAATTCTTCTTAATAAAACAAATGAGTTCCCAAAACACAAATTCTGTCTCTGTACCTGGAGGCTTTCAGTATAAATCAAATAGTGTCTCTGACTCTACCCATACCAAATGGAACAGTGACTTTGGAAGCACTGTGGACGGAGCTATTTCTTTAAAATACCTGGGAGAACTTCAAGGGTCCTACTCCTCTCCAGTGTTTAGAAAGTTGTAAATTACTAAATCTCAAATTCCTCTCAAGATTGTAGAGTGGCAGGTGTGCACTTCTGAAGATCAAGGAAATCAAGACAGATTTGGGTAGTGCACCTCAGAGAAGGCAGCTAAATTAAGGCGATGAAATAGGTAACAACAAAGAAAGACTGAACTGAAACAGGTTCTGGCAAACATGGAGATGATCACACGTTCCGTGGGAAAGCCGCTGTTGAGAGAAGGAGGGTCATAAAAGAATGGAAATGACCTGAGAAAATAAATCCAAACACCTAAAAATAGAAGCAGATGTGTGACTGTTACATGATTTCCAATATCCCTCTCTATTCTAACAGGCACTTTTCATAAAAGCATAGGACTTCAAAACCCAAAAGGAATCTACAGCTACCTAAGAACACTGAAATAATGTTAAAATCTAAAGAACATCAAAATCAGCATCAATAGACCATGTAAGCCTGTTTCACAGTCTGCTCTAATAATCAGGACGATGAACTGAACATCCACTTAGGTATGCTTCAGCTAAAGCTTGTGGGTTAGCGCCCCATAGGAGAATTACCACAAATTCAGGAATGAAATGGTCAAGAGACATAAGGATTGGTACAGTTTATTGATGAAGTCCATTTAAACAATTAAGGTTACAAAGAAACTCAGGTCATATAGCACATTGGAGAGTAAAGACTACTTATTTTGGATCATTAAATTCTCATTCCCCCATTCAATCAAAAATACCTACTTACCCAGTAAACTTGCCACAATGGAGACCAACCCTGTTCCAGCTCCAATTTCAATCACGTTTTTATCAACCATATTATACTGCTTTGCATTTGTTTCCAGGAAATAGCATAAAACAAGTGCCTACAAAAATTAAATTAAAAAGTTGGTGCTTGGCAAGTAGTAACAAAGAGCAAGATGAAACTCCAGTAGGTAAATGTGTCACTGATGTTACAGGTGAGTATCCCCATGTGAGTAGGAGAGCATCTGTGGCTGTTCATAGGCCTCATTCCAGGAAATCATCACAGAATTACAACCCCAATATGTTTAACATTTTGTCTAAAAATAGTCTTTGGGGATTACTGGGAGGAAAGAGAGATAACTAAAAGTACAGAGTTTAGTTGCTTAAATTGGGTCACGTTTCAAGGAAGCAACTAGTAATAATACCAGTTATTTTTAGTGTGTGGGCCAGGGCAGGCTGCAGTGGAGGGTCTGTGTCCTTCATGCTCAGTTGTTGAAGGAGTGGGTGCCCTTTGAGAATATTCTGCATGTTAGACTCATACAGATGTCACTATAATTGTTTAACCCAAATGGAGCCAGTAAAATGGGAAATAAAAACATTGACTCTTCTAAACTCTACAGTCATAAAAAACTGAAGGAGTAAACAATGTTTTTATGTGTCTCACAAATTTTGATAAAGTTAGAAATAGAATTAATTAGTGGAAATGACTTCCCAATTGCATGATTTCTAAGTTTTAGTGCTGTGTGAGGTCACATAGTAGCATTATACAACCTGTTTCCTTCTTCCATGTAAAACACATCAGTGAACCAAACTGACTGGAAAACAATTGAATGTAGCAAATTTTGTATGAAATTATACCGAGGGCCAAACAACAGCACCGTAACAGTCCATCGCTTCAGTAATCCGAATCTCATGACCAACAAAATGAAAGGCTTCCCAGGAAATGCTTGTTACCAGAGTTGGGATAAAACATCTCGCCATGATCTCTGAGACCACCTGCTTGTCGTCATGGTCTTCTCTGGCCTCTGCAAGGAAATCAAAGAGGTAGTAGGTATCTTAGAAACCCAAGACAGAAGAGAAGCAGCTAATGGAAATGCAGCATTTCCTGGGCTCAGTTACTTTCAAATATTCACTGACCTTAGATGAAACTAAAAAGTAAGGTCTACTCTCAAGTACCTCATAATGTAAGCTAACATTCACACATCAGGGTGTCCATGTTTTTCTGTTTTCTAGACGTCACACTATCCATTTCTGCAATGCTAAATACTACTTAGGCAATATGTTGGGCAAGGAGTACAGCTTAGAGGTAGTGTGCTTGCCTAGAATGTGCAAGAGGAAGGAAAGAAGGAAGGATGGAAGGAAGGAAGAAAGGGAAAGAGGGAGGGAAGAGGAAGGAAGAAAGCAAGGAAGTTTCCAAGGATCACCAATCAGTTCTTCCTGAACAAGAGAAGACTTTGATGGGATATAAGATCCTACCTTTTTGTAGAGTCTACACAGTATGATTTCAGGTGTTTTAGTGACATATAATAGGCTGTTCTATTTAACTTGCTTTTAACCAGATAAAAGATGTGTTGCAATACCACCCACGATATGCCCTAATATTATTATTTTTTATATTTATTTTTTAGTTTTCGGTGAACACAACATCTTTATTTTTATTTTTATGTGGTGCTGAGGATCGAACCCAGCGCTCCGCGCATGCCAGGCGAGCGCGCTACCACTTGAACCACATCCCCAGTCCTATTTTTTATTTTTATATTATTATTTTGGGGCACTCATGGAATGTTGGCATCTACAATCTTACTTATGGTTAATAAGTAACATTTAACTACTAATTATTGAGCATATACTTAACATGCTAGAACCTGCTATAATATTGACTTAATTTTGTTGTTGTTGTTGTTCTGGGGATTGAACCCAGGAGCACTTAACCACTGAGCCACATCCCCAGCCTGTTTTATTGTTTATTTTGAGGCAGGGTCTCACTAAGATTCTTAGGGCCTCACTAAGTTGCTGAGGCTGGCTTTGAACTTGTGATCCTCCTGCCTCAGCCTCCTGAGCCTCTGGGATTACAACTGTGCACCACCACGCCTGGCTGCTCTTAATCTTTGCAATAACTGTATGGTACACACTATTAGTTTCACTTTCACTGATAACAAAGCTAAGACTCAGAGAATCATGTTAACTTGACCAAGCCCACACAGGGTATAAATGAAAGAGCCAAAATTTGAGCTCCATTTGTGGTTGCTCCAGAGCCTCCTTTCTACAGTTTTAAAAAGCTGTGATATAATGTGTTTGTTTTTTTTTAATCTATTTGTCTCTAAGAGTTTACAAACTTAAGTAAAATGTGAAAGAGAAATCTATATCAAATGACGTTGGGAAACAAACAATATGTATAAAGTGCTTTGCATATTGCCTGCTACATGGTGTCTGAAAATTACTACTACTACTACTACTATCATTATTATTATTTTGAAAGTATAGCAAAGTGTATTAGAAGAGAAAGAAGAGGGAGCACCCTCAAGGGAGAGAACAGGTCCTCTCACAGAAGAGACATAAAGAATGATCATTATTTTTGTAACTGTTACTATTTTGATCACGAAATTCAGACAGAACAAGATCACCAGTTAATCAAACCCTGGATGGTATGGCACAGACTTGAAAACTCAACAGTTCATAGTGCTGTGGCTGAGGTACTTGGAGTGGTTTCATGAAAGAAGTCTGTCTTTGGTCAACCTTTGTTCTAACATGACTTCCATCGATAGAGAAGTTGTTTCTCTCTCACACCAGCCCTTAAAATCCACTGCTCCTTCCAGTATTTTCTGCTCTCTCAGCTCTTGCCATCCACCTCCCCTTCCCCAGCACTCGTGAAGTCAGGCTTAGTTTTCTCCCGAAGAGAAGATGGAAAATAAAGACCAACGGTGAATATAAGGAGGAAACAGCATGAAAAGACAAATCCAACCGAAAAAACAGTTTTAAATTCCTAAGTAGGAAGAGATGAGGCAGCAAAGTGTCATTGTAACCACTTTAGCCAGAGTACTCTTTGTTCCTGGGTTAGCCCATTCACTCACTCTAGAACTCTGTGCTGAAGGCCTGGTGTGCACCTGCCCCAGTCTGAGTGGTGGAAATATGGTAGCTGGCCAGAAGATGTGGTCACTCCCCTCAGAAACACTGGAAAGACAGACTTAATTCCTCTACACCTCAACAATGCATGTGATATCTCAGGGCATCAGAGATTGGATTTAATAATGTGAGCTACAATAAAGGTGAACATAAAGCCCATATTCTGGTAGAGTTTAGCAGCACTATTTGGGGTGGAAGCAGATATAATAGAGATGTAGGTTTAACTGGGCCTAAGCTCAATATGAGTCAAAAGTATAAAACCAGTATCAATAAAAACTTGTACACTAAGGTCATGTTAAGAATATAATTTCTAAAATGAGGTCAGTAAAGGCTCTGTTCTATTTCATGCTGGTCAGATCATACTGTTAGTCCCATATGCAACTGCAGAAGTCTCACTATACTGGAATGCCAAGAAACTGGAGGAACCGGGAGGTGAGACATCTTGAAACTCAGCCACAGGAGGACAATTTGAAGAGACAGACCTGCTCCTCAAAAATAGTAAAGACCTGAGGGAACACAAGAGTTGCTACAACTTTAAAAAACTAGTAAATAGAAGAATTGGGGGGGGGTGTGCGCATGCGCATGTGTGCCCCGCATAGAATCTAGTCAGAACCATGTGTTCCCCAAAAGAACTCCCGCTTAGGTACAGCCCACAGGAAGGGGCCTGTCCATCACCCGATTCTCCCACTATCACACTGACCCTCAGTAGAGATGCAACAAAAATAGCAAGATGAAAAATTGGTATTCTTCAGCAAGAGCCACCTCTTCTAATATATTCCACTGTACTTCTCCTTAAATAACTGCATGCATTCGCATTCAGAAGAGCTCCAAGAACCAAATAATACTGGTAATATGTTTTATTTGAACTTTAACTTTCATTCCACTACATGCACTTGGCTTGCTAAGAATGAAGGAGTGGGGGAGGAGGTTTGCTGTGGTGGCTCTTTAGGGAAAAGCAGAGAACATTAATTGCTTCCTTGACCTTTAGCTCAGCGTGTCCTCCTGGGCCTCCTTGCCTGCTCCTTGTAAATGCAGCACTCCTTTGACAAGTCACCTAAGGTACCAGGGATTAATAGATGTTAGAGTACACCAAATCCCAGGAGCATCTCCTAAAGTTCCAGCCTTTGATACAGAAACTTTGTCAGTGAATATTTACTGGTACAATTTGACACCTCTGACTTTGCACGTTCTTTTAAAGGTTAGTTGGCCAGATTAGTGCTGCTGTCTAACAAGTCGGTGATAACAAATGAATTCCTGGCTTTTGACTGTCTTTCTGAATATACTGAGCTAGTCCTTTCTTTTTGATAATGACTACATCTTTGTCCTCATGTGGAAATGAAATTTTTAAAATATATATAAGTATATGGTTATAATTGACAATTACACTCTCAATACAAAGGACCTTGAAAAATATTTCGTGAAACAACTATAGCCACTATTAATTGCATATACACGAAAAAGAACAACTTTATCTAACACATATGGCAATTCAAAACTAGTAATAAAACTATGATGATATTGTATCATATAGAAATCATTATCAGTTTGAATAAAATTTAATTGATAATGTTTTATATTAATATTCTGTTTTGCATTTAAATGTTATATGACTACTATAGGCATTCCATAAGCAGTAACCCTCATAAAATTAGCTTAATTTACATCACAAAGCCAAAATATGCTGAATATGGCTGCTTAAAACAATTTGTTAAAAGAGGAACAAGATCTTTGTAAGAACCACACTGATAAAATAATCAAGTTTCTTTTGAAATGACTGATGAAGCTTAAAACAAAATTTCTTCATGACAATAAAAAAATCACAATAATGTCTAGATGTAATATGTGAGATTTTAAAAGGAAACATATATATCTCTCTATGATTATTTCCATCTTAAAACACTGGCTGTTCTTACCCAGCATGAACTTCTACCTAAAGATCTTGAGGTAATAGTTGTAATACAGTAGTAATTTTTTATGTAAATGAAGACACATGTAATATTAAGTTCTAGTAATGACACCACCTACTTCCAGGTTGATAACAAGAATCTCTCACCTAGAATCTAATGAGAAGAGCAGTATACTACACAGGCATCCTGGAGCAGCCTCCTTGCAATAGAAGGGAGGGATCTATACCCCAAAGGTAATTTACAAAGCACACATTCCTCAAGCTGCATTGTTTACTGAATACGGGATTTAGTGTTTAAAAGATTTATGAATTAGCAGATAGTGTTTGGTTCTTAATTAATATCAGAAGAGCAATTTCCTCAAAAAGTTAATAACATTGTCATATATTGGAATTCTAGAAGCATTTTTGGACAATTTTCCCACATATATTCTCTCCTTATTTTCTAGCACTGGGACAAAAAACTAAAACTGGGTAACCTTACACAAAATAGTAGATCTTGACTTTCCTGGGTGAAAGCCCCCAAACTCCTGATGTCTTCACCTTTAGATGAAAGCTATCTACCTATCTTAGAGTATTATTTTCTTGATGAATTTAATATTGAAACATAACCATCAAAAGATCTTAAATAAAACATAATCAAGACACAGTATTATAATTATGTTGCTATCTTGGGCTTATCTATTTTAATGCTTTTTCATACAAAAAAATTCTAATACCATTTTCCTGCTATTAAATCTTTGCTGATTTAAAATTTACCAGGTGGCTCTTGTTCTCCTGAGAACTAAAGGGTTTTCAAGTATGAAGTGAAAATTAGCAATATTCTGCCACACTATGAAGACTATTCTCCTGAGAAAAATTCAGTGGTGAATTGATTTTGGTGCTGGATTACAGCAAGCCTTCCAAAATAGCAACTCTGTCTACAGTCCTCTCTTTTATATCTTTAAGGTCAGTAAGAACAATAATAAATGAAGGGTCAGAGCACAGAAATACACTAAATAAAAAAGGAAAAAAAACAGCAACTTTTTAATAGCAATGACAAGTGAATTCAAGCTTCCATTTGCCGGCTGTCATGAGAAAGTGTCAGCAAAATATCAAGTCAAGCCACTCTCCTAAATGAAAGCAACTGTCATTCAACCGAATCTTCTATTCAAAGAGGAATGTCATGTGCTTTTTAGAAATGCCTACGGATTTTTTTAAGATGTTAAAGATATTTTCAGATAAATAAATGGGCACAGGCTAATCTGAAACATACAATCGTGAATGCCTCAGCAATGCCAATATCTTGAGCCCTTATATTGAAATGGGTTCCTGAGAAGAGTCCACAGATATGTTCTATCTGCTGGTACACTGAGTTTCAAGAATGAAGAGTCTGGAACTCTAGTTGAGGAGACATCTTATGTCTTCACAGAAGAAGAAAATTCCTCTTTTATTGAGACTGCTCAGGATGCAAGTAGAAAACAAAGAAGAACCTCAGTTCATTGTCCTCAAAGTTCACTCCTTGAATCATGAAAGGGAAAGATTCAATTTCACTGTCAGTGGAGTTTGGGAAGTCTTGGAAAGCCCTTCTCTAAAGGCTATAGAAGTACCCAAGTTGGTGGGATCAGGAGAAGCAACCTTGAGGAGGAGACATTTGTGCTCAGGGAGCTATGAAAAGATCAAGGTGCACCTGGGATCATTGTGAGAAATGAGCCTGAAGAAGCTGCCTGAGACCAGAATTGTTGCAGTGTTGATCCTTGTTCTATAAGGGAAGGAGGAGCCAGGAACTGATGTGATCAGATGTGCTGCTCAAGAACTACCTCTGTTACGGCTTAGATGTGAGGTGTACCCCTAAAGTTCATGTGTGAGAAAATGCAAGAAAATTTAGAGGTGAAATTATAACCTATTCAGTGCATTAATCTCCTAATAGGGATTAACTGGGTGGTAACTGTAGACAGGCATGGTGTGGCTGGAGGAGGTGGCCATGGGCCATGGGGTGGGGGCTGCCTTTGGGGTTGATATTTTGTGAGCTGAGTTTAATCTCTCTCTGCTTCCTGGTGCTTTTCACCTTCATGCTCCTCTGACATGCCTCACCTCAGGCCAAGAGAAATGGAGTTGGCCATCTATGGACTGAGACCTCTGAAATGATGAGCCCCAAATAAAATTTTCCTCCTCTAAAGTTATTCTTGTCAGGTATTTTCATCACATCAGTGAAAAGGCTGACTGAAACAATCTCTGGCAGCAGTGGCTGTGGGACTGGTGAGGTCAGAAGCTAATGACAAGCCCGTTGCAAAGGCCCAGTTGACGGGAGTCTGATGAAGGCAGCAGACAGAGTTGAGGGCCGAGTCCCACCGGTGTCCTTTGAGCAGCACATGCCTCCTCTTGGGGACAGCAACTGGCACCCAAACCTGACATTCAAACCAGAGTTTTGAAGACATCTGAGGCAGATTGAGGCAGTAAACTTGAGTTACTTTTGTTAAACATGTGAAAAATTGGTTGTTTTTTAGCTGATACTTATTCGGGTTACTTTTTAAATATTTAAAATGTGTTAATGAGTGATGCTCACCTTAGTAATGCTATGGTACCCCAACTATAATATCACATATTTTACCTCACACTAGTGTGTGGTAGGTTTCATAAACAGAGATAGAATTACTCAGGTAAACTTTTTTCTTTGTGCAGTAAGGCTAATATTATTCATAAAAGCATATTACTCATTAATTCAACTACGTAAAGATTTATGAAAGTCCTCGGGAGAGAGTTTCATGTGATACCCTGAGTAGGATGTTATACTAGGCCTGAAGGGAGTCAACTGGCTGGTGACCAGAAATATAAGACCATCTCTAACGAGCAAGCCTAAGTCCAACCAATAGCCTTGGTTATAGTTAATTCATTTATTCACTCATTTATTGAGCACCTGGGCACTATGACGATGAAGACAGACCAACATGTAAGTGCTCTAACAGAGGCTCAACCAGATAATTCAAAAATTCAAAGTTCCACTTCTCAGGAGCTCAGCAAAGAATTACCTGAACCTTCATGATTAGGGGTTTGCCAGGCAAGTAAGATATGTCTTAAGAGGAGATGTGTCTCACATAGGGAACAATATGTGTCAGCCCACTGGCGAAAGATCTCTTGACCAATTTTACAATTCGAGGAACTCTGAGAATATATGAGGTAAGTGGAGGGGTCAGTAGCACAAGATAAGACACTTACACCATGCTTAGAAGTTTTGATTCTATCCTACAGGAAACAATGAGACACTGAATAATTTTAAACAGAAGCCTAATGTGGCAAGGTTTGAACTTTAAAAAGATCATGCAAGCCACAGTGTGAAAAAGGAACTAGAGAGGGTAAAGAAAGTTAGTCCAGAGTGAGATAGCCAATTAAAGGCAGTTAACAACACTGGAGAGAAGAAATGATACAGGTCAGAATCAAAGCAATTGATGCTGGGAATGGAGGAGGAAGAGTAGGAGCACTCATGGAGGAGGGCAGGCGAAACCAACAGGCTGTAATGGGGAGGGGCATGAAGGAGAGGGAGAAGGCTCCGGGGTAGCCAGGAAAGTGATTCTGCCATATACTGAGACAGGAAATATACTGAGGGGAAAATCTGAATAGGAAACCCACAGTTAAGGCATAGTCATCTGTGATAAGATGTGCTGGCCATCGAGGGGAGCCACTCAGATGAAGGGAACCTGCTATAAGGAGCTCAGTTGCCAACAGTGCCGCCCTCTGTGTCTTTGGCTCCTTGAGAGCTTCCTCCCCCTGCGGCTGCCTACCACAGCCAGCCCATCCCATGTTGGATGCCCCTTCAGTAGTCAGCTTCAGCTCAGGGACATCTCTTGCCTACCTGAGATGTCTCAGAACTGTTGGAAGCTCTTCCTACCCAGTCTATCCATCTCTCCCCTTCTTAGGTGTAGGACCTAAGCCGAGATCTGAGAATTCTGCCTACTTCTGCTCCTTCCTTCTTTATCTCCCACAAACATTTCCCCAAATAAAGTCCTTGCACATTTAATCCCACTTGGGCATTACTTCTGCAAAGACCCAAACTGACTCAAGGCAGTCTAATAAGCAACTGGAGTGATCTGAGTTGCTGTGCACCAGAACCCCTGACTCTGGGGAAGGACAGTCTCCTCCATGGCTGCAGACTCTCAGGAGACCGTTTTAGAAAACTATGCTACATGTGCTAAAGCTAGAGAAGGCTGCAGGCAAGTGTGGGACATGTGGCATTGTTAATGTGGATGAGGTTTTAGACAGATTATAATGTAGCATCAGAAACATGTAGAAAGGAATTGCCAGCACGTGCCCTAGTCATAGTTTTAATCTGTGTATAAATGAGTGACATTTTATAGTTCTTGAATCTTCATGCTGGTGTTGAAATACAAGCTAGGAGTCTGCTCCATCCTTTCCAAGTAAGAGATACTAAGTATAAAAGAGCTGGGGTAGGACATATCAATACGCTCCGGTGCCCGAGAACGCTGTGTTCCCCTTCTGGGAAGAGCCTTTGTCAGCAACACAACGCCTGGCTCTGCTCTAACAGCACACTCTTAATCCCCCAGCTCTGTGCTTTTGAACATATTTTTAAAGCTTTAATTGGCTATACAGATGATTATGGGGTGTGTTTGTTCATGTTGTAAAATATTTTAATACTACTTCTGTCTCAACCTTACCTTGAACTTCTTCCACTCCCTTTGTAATTTGCCAAATTATCATAAGCACAGTTGAAACCAAGAATTGTTACTAATGGTAATGATAATGATGTAATTTTATTCATAAACCACACAGAAATTGTATCTTCACTCAAATTATCTAAATGGCTGGATTCTCTAAGTGATTACAAATTAAATGTTTAGGTTTGCAAGAATCGCTACAGGAAAACCATTGGTGTTTAAGCCAGGTAGGCTGCCAACCCTGGGCACGCCCCCAACTCTCTCAGCCTGAAGACACGCTCATCTAGGTAGAAGCCACCTGGTGTGGCCAAAAAAGGGAAAAGCAGGATGACAATTCTTAGAAAGCGCCACATCATGATAGACCAGGAGGGAGAGAAAGAAAGAAGCAAGATGATTTTATTTGTTTTGAATTGCTCAACAAAAACATGGTAATTGTTCTAGTCTCTGTCAAGAATATCTACAAGTCTACACTTTTAATCTAGAGATAATGGGGTACTTATATTGTGATAACCATGCAGGTTCACACTTCATATGTAAGACTACGTGAAACTTGTAGGACAATTTAAATAATCACACTGCTGGTAGAACTCAAACTTAAATTCTACATCCAGAGGTCAAATTACATTAACACATACTTCATATTTAAGACCATGTAGTAATGATGGGCTAATTTCAAATAACTATACTGGTTGTAGAACTCAAATCCTTTTTACATCTAGAGGTCAAATTACATGATGTATTTGCCTCTAATTAATAGTCAGAGGGATGATCCATAAACACGTGTTACAGATGTTTTTATAGCCTAAATTCATCATTCATCCAAGCATTAGTAAAATCTTCAGTTTTTTCCATAAAACTATTTAGATCTCTCTTGCAAGCTTCTTACCTAAAATAACTTACAAATCGCAAACATGCATTTCATGTATGGTATTGGGTAAAAATAAAATTTTCCATCTTTACAGATAAAGAAAAACTCTAAATATATAGTAAGTAAGTTCTAATTACTTAGTAACTCTATATATTTTATTTATTGTCTGCCAAAATTATCTCAAACATATCCCCAGGATCCTAGGTATGATAACAGTAGGCATAAAAAATTACTGGAGATATCTCAGGTTAGCAAACACAAACTGAGACATAACATGCAGTAAATCAATGTCCTAGCTCCCTTCAAGACATGGATGAACACTGCAAAAGGAATATTTTATATTCTACTAATTATTTGCCTCCTTAGAATTGGTCAAATGGTGAAAGAAACAAAATTATTTACCTTCTTGAACTTCTGGCTCCATCAAGTGATCAATCAATGGATGGCTATATATTGATGTTTTCTTGATCATTTCTTGAAAACTAGGCAAGTAATAAAATGTCAAATGGTATTAATGAAGTAAAAATATGTACCGAGCATACTCATGCTTACCTACTAAAGTTTAACTTCAAATATAGCTGAGGGAATATTAAAGCACCACATAATAAAAAAGCATGATTTAATCAAGACCAACTCAACACTACCTAGCACAAATCACAACTGGAACAAAGGCTTCAGAGTCAGGACTTCTATAAGCTACTAGAGAAAGAACGTGTTCCTCACCAGAGACAAACAGCTGCCACAGAGAGGCACATCATACTGCCTGGTAAGACAGCAATGCCAAAATTTAAGAGATGACTAAAACATTGGGAAGAAATGGGTTCTGCTTGGTGCATTGAAAACCATAATATTAATCTAAAATAAAGCATCCTAGCAACCAGTGCAGAGTTCATTTGTTCCCATCTGTGCGTCATTAGCACTTCCTCAGTGTCAAACAGCACCAGGGCCAGATGATCGTCCTAGTAGCTTCTACCATCTATGCACACCATCCCAGCAGACATATAAGACTGAATAAATCAAAGTATTTCATGCTTCTCAAGTGGAGCAGATAATCAGAATTAGCTCAAATGAGCCATTACTTAAACCTCACTAAAGTTTGATTGGTATCATAGAAGCTATTCACTGTACTACCATAAATTAGTAAAACACTTTCTTCCAAGGATCCCAAACTACTTATAAGTCACATTTCTTCACAGCATGCCTCAGTAAATTAGAAGCCAAATTATTTTCCCTAGAGTTTACAAACAAGGTCACAACTCAAATAATAGCAAGACATATGTTTTGTTCCCAATTTAATCTTTTCCATTAAAGAAAGCAGTCTTCATTACACCTGTCCACATGAAAGCCAGTATTTATTAAATGTTAAACCTAGACACACCTAAATGACTTAGCCAAGTTTACAGAAGGTTAAAAAGTATCATCCACAACTTCTGTTTTGCTGCCGAGTCCTCTGGTAGAGCCTGAAAGGCTTGCACCAAAGCAGAGTTTACTACTGTACACACTGGCAGTGGGGCCCTGCAGAAGGATTAGGATCCTGACAGCTGCAGCTTCCTCGCCTCTGGTTACACAGCAGTGAGGCTGGGACACCCTTCTAAAGGGGCTGAATAACAGAATGACTGCGGTCCATGAAAGAGCTAAAACCAATAGCTAGATGTAAACCACTCCCATGAGTAAGCAAAGACTGCACAGAGGCAGCAATCCAGTTCTCCCACGTCAATGTCAAGGCTTATTCTAATACTCCACGGCTAACATGTCCTGTGAAATGGAGGCCACATAATTTTCATATCACCAGTCTGTCTGTTTTCAGAATCCAATTGCATCAGAATTTACGCAGCACTGCTCTGTGCCCAGGAATCAAAGCACCCCAACTCCTTCCTATTCAGGTGGAATGGCAAGCTAAGGGTGTGTTCATCTCTGTACTTACACAGGTGCACTATGTACCTGTAGGCATGCATAAACATTCCCCTGTCTCTGAAAAGATCCCCTTGATATAAGTTACTTGAAGCAACAAAGCCAAACAATATTGCAAATTTAAACTTAGGAATGCAAGAAACACTTGACATTCCATGACTTACACAGAGCTAACCAAGGTCACTCTGCTGTACTAGGCAGGCCTGCACTTCAGGAGGCTCCATTTAGTTACTCCTATCAATAATTAGCTGGTGATTTTGACCATACAGTTAGCATGTTCCCTGGCTTTCTCATCTACTAAATAGGGATATAAAAAGCATATAATATACATATTTGTTGGTTACGATTATAGGTAAAAACATTCTAGAAAGTCTAAAATCCTAAACAATACAAACTATTATTCATAGGCAGTTAATTTTGGGCAAATGACACTCTTTTTGACTATTTTTAAAGCAAGAATAAAGAATTATTTAATGTATAAAATTATGACTTTTTCAAAGAGCTGTTTGAAAGATGATGCAATCCTTGGTGCTGGATTTCTTCAGAAGCAGAATCCCTAAATCAATCATCTTAGCCAACTGTTAGACATAATCATTTCAATTATACAGAACTGTTTAAAAAGCAGAGACACAGAGATTTCTGCCTCTGGCTGTATGTACCTAGAGCAGACCTCTGCTTCCTTAGGAACCAGAAAAGCAGGTTTTCAAATACAAACACACATATGCTCACGTGCTCCTGTTAAACAGCATCGCATCAAGCTGTCCAGGTAACAAGAACTCCAGGCACTGATCCCCGGTGAAGAGAAAGAGGCTGAGTAGCCCAAGAGGAAACAATGGACCCAGCTCAGCTTCAGGCAACCTCACAGAAGTGGGCAGACAAAAGAACAGCTGGCAAGGCATCCAGGCACTGAAGGCCTGGATCCCAAAGAAGGGACAGGGAAGTAGCCTGACATTCCTCACTGACCTTGCACTCACAGCAATGAGTAATTGTGCTGTTTAGGGCACGAGGCCAATTTCCCAAGCATGACAAGGCAAAAAGCAGAACAAGGTTCAGAAGAGAAACACCAGGCTTTCAGCTGGTACTCCTGGAGAACCTTTTAGGAATAAGGACTGAGCAGCAGCTGGAGTTTTGTAAAGACTGAAAACCAGACTTGAGTCCACTTTGTCCTGACATGACATGACATGATCAGCCCTGCTGCCTGGCAGAATACCTCTGGGATCCCTGGTTTCGGGGGAGGGGAGTCAGCACAGCCACAGTTTCTCATTCAGAAATTTTTTCAGTCAAAATTCACCAAGCACATCAACAGACAATAGAAATAAACTCACAGGTGACCCAGATAATGGAATTATTTGATATAGGCTTCAAAGCAACTGTTTATGATGATCAAAAACATATAAGGGAAACTATACCAAAGAATTAGAGTATATTTAAAAAAAAAAAAAAAGAGTCTACTAGAAAGAAAGAAAAAATAACAATAAATGAAAAAAATTAAATGTATGGGTTTGACAGCAAATGTAGATAAAGCTGAAGAAAATATTAATAACCTGGAAGATAATTTCATTTTATAGAAAAGATGCTATCACCTAGATGTAATAGGTAATCAACTTGCTCTGAATAATGATAAATTGGCTTTGCTGCTGATTATTTTCAACAGGCAACCTATTTTTGTAAGTAAAACAAAACCCTGGAATTTTGAGTTAGATTTGAGTTCAGGTAAAAAATCTTTTTTTTTTTAAAGAGAGAGAGAGAATTTTTTTAATATTTCTTTTTTAGTTTTCGGCAGACACAACATCTTTGGTTGTATGTGGTGTTGAGGATCGAACCCGGGCCACATTCATGCCAGACGAGCGCGCTACCGCTTGAGCCACATCCCCAGCCCCAGGTAAAAAATTCTTACTGACTAGATGGGTAGCTTTTATAGTCAGTTAATGTCTCTAAACTTGTCTATTCCTTTGTAAAAGAATATCCTTCGGTCACACGGTTAAACTGAAAAAGAGGATATACTATCAAAGGGTTCTATAAATATACTTTTCAGCATGTTTCTCATGGTCCTGAATAACCATTTTCTCCTTCTTCCTAGGCACAGACCAGGTAGAAATCACATTTCTGAGCATGTCTAAGTATGGCCAAATGCTCAGTTCAGGTCAATGAAATGGAAGAAAAGTGATTTTTCCATTCACCCTTAATGTAAGACATTCTGCTTGTCCTGGATTTGGTTCTTTCCCCTTCCAGGAGGGTGAAAAACTGATGCAGTGGTCACAGTCTGTTCAAGCAAGACACCCCAGAGGATGGCTGGCCTGGGCTCTGAATAACTCAAAAGACAACAACTTCCCCTGTTGACGCGTCGACAGTAGAGTAAGAGAGAAGGAAGGCTCTAGCTCACCTAGACTATGTATAGGAAGGTCTCCGTTACAGTGACAGACTTTGTATCAGCTAACACAATGGAAAATAAATTTGAATTATCTATTAAAGCCAACAAAATCAAAATATTTAGCACTGTTCTACCCACATGTATATGCAAAAACTCCCAATTACCAGTACCTTTGAAAAATACCAATGATATGAAAACATGTTCCTGTCCTCACTGAGGTGTTCTGCTTCAAATACCTCTAGAGCAAAGAGGCATCAAGAAATGACTTGAGTTTATTGTGCAGATGTCATTATCAATGTGAGAAGGAAGCTGCTAGAGAAGACTGAGAGAAGCAGAAGCCATATTTGAAATTAAGAAGAAACAATGAGCATAGAAAAGCAACAGCTGAAGTCCAAGTATCCCAGAAGTTTGGTTGAACAGTAAACAAATGACAGCCTAAAATCCTGAGGACTCATTGAAAAGTTGTTGAAAAGTATCTGTTTGTATCTTATTTTCTTTGGTGAAGATTTTCAATTTGAAGGCCAAATGGTGGAAACAAGGAAAGATGGAAATATGAAAGATACCAGAAGGATTATGAACTTGGGAAGGCACATCTGAAGGTACCCTAGACTCAAAGTAGCAGGCTACTGGAGATCTCCGTCTAGTAATCCTAAAGTAACCTAGGCTGACCACTGGACAAAGAGCTGTGCCAACAGTAGTCAACACCTAACGTGGACCCACCTACACTGGCTTGATGAACCCCTGAGCCACCAAATTTATTTACAGAGAAGTCAGCTTCTGACACCTGAAGTAGTGTGAAAGCAAACATTACGGTGCAGAGGTTGCCATCATTAATGCTCACAGGAAGAACGAAGCGCCTCAGTCAGGTTTCCTAATTAATTGCTAAAATCGCAGCAATCATGTTCTTCAAATGTGCTCCGGCAGTGAGGGTCCCTCCTGCTATCATTCTAAGAAGAGCTTGAGGGAAAACAGCAAGCAGTGGGGTGCAGGAATTTATTTGTTACTGGAGCTGCCACTATTTATTCCTAAACTACACAGGTATCTTTCTTCTCACCTAGGTATGAGTCAGAGGGAAGGCATTCTGAGAGCCGGCGCTGGTCATGTAGATTCTTTGTTCTTTTTTTTTTTTCCTTATGGGTCAGAAAGCACCAGGCAGTGTAAGGTATGGAATCGGGAAGAGAGAAAGTCTCTGAGAACAAGAAAACACCCGACGTGGCAGGGGACACGCGCCAATCTTTTTAAAGACCACACACTGGATAGAAGACTGTGCCAACGCATTTAATTTCACTGTCCTCAGGGCCGCGGAGGAGAAGGCAGATTCTGAATCAGGTTTGCCTCGCTCTTCCCCTGGCACGGCTCGCCTTCCCTTTTCTCCTCCCAAACACGGGCCTGGCCGTCACCAGGGCGGCCCTGGCGCTCCCGCCGCGGTCCTCCTCGTCCTCGCTGGAGCTGCTGGTGCTCACCCCGGCCGCCTGCACGGGAGCGCGGGGCCCGACGACCCCCCGCCTGGCCCCAGCTCCTCTCCGGCGCACGTTCCTCGGCGGCGAACCTCCGGCCTCCTCACCCGAAGAGGCACCGGACTCCGAGAGGCAGCTCAGCCCCAAAAACCCACCGCATCCATCGGGGCCTCCAGACTCGGACAGCCTCCTCCTCCTCTTCAGGCTCGAGGCCTCCTGCGGTTCCTCGGCGAGGCTCCTCTTCTGGGCGCTGCCCGGGGCCTGGCCCAGCGTCTCGCTCTCTCCCTCCACCTGGGGGGCGGCCGCTTCCCTTTCCTTCCTCAGCATACACGTCACGGCCCTGTGGAGTCGCTGGCTCTTAATGCGCTTAGCATCTTGCTTCTCCTGCTGAGCCAGTCTAAAGAAAGAATCAATCCGGAGCTGAGTCTAAAATAAAACAACATGCGAATCAGACAGATTTCCACACCGTGTCAACAAGCTCCGCCTTGATTGCTCACATTGGATTACCACTTCAGAGAATGCTGATTTACACCTTCCAAAAGCCAGCTCTCTTCCAATTAATCACAGTGGATCTCAGTGATTTCTAAATTACACTGAAAGCAATACCTGCACTCACTCTGTCGGCTCAGTCCTCTGTCCACATCTCCAACAACAAATCTCTTCTGAGATACTCAAAAAGCATCATCTTCTCAAGCAATAAAATTTCATTGGGCTTGTTTCTAAGTCCTACGTCTCCTTCTTAAAACATTATATAATCATATAGTACCTCCAGGAGGCAAGCTCACAGGATACTTTAAGAGCTCTAAAAAGTCTTCAAGCCTTGGGAAGATACTCTTTAAAAATACTTACATGTGAGAAAAGTTTTAGGCTTAATGTCCATCACAACATTATTTACACTTTCCAATCATAGAGAAATAAACTTACATTAAGTTCAATAGTGGGAAAGGAGAAAGTTCTACAACAAAATGTATCTCGAGCCAAGGAGTAACCAGTCGGTGAGAAACAGCATTCACTCTCAGCTGGGCGATGCTTTCAGCAGAGAAAGGTCTTCCAACAAACAAGAGGGATCCCCTGGAAATGCTCTTTACATCAGTTTTGCTTATTTTTTTTTTCCAAAATTGACCAAACTTAATGGAAATTAACTCAATTATCTGAAAAGATATTTTTTCATTTCTGCTAAACAGTGGATTTGAGAGTGTACATTGTGGATTGCTTCCATGGTGGGCAAAAACTTGCTTTAAGTGAGCAAGAACACATGGACAGAGCAAGAACACATGGACAGAACAAGACCCACTCACCTGCCCAGGGGAGACGGTCCTACAAGGCCTCTCCTCCTCCAGATCCCCTCTCTTACTGATATGCTATAATGACTGAGATTCTACTATAAAGAGCTATATAAAAATCATAAATTAAGAAGTGCTTATAATTGAGAAACCCTAATGACCAGAACTGTTCTGGATTGGACATTTCCTAAGCTTTTAAAAAATGACAATAACACCAAGAGGGTAATATCTTTAATCAGAAATGCTTAGTGTGAAATTGATTATTGTTTTTTTTTTTCAAAGTCAGAATGAACATGAAAGGCCATCACAGTCCAGCACTAAGAGAGATATTGTGAAGACTAAGTCCAATTATTCTTTTTCTATTTTCCTCTGTTCTTTACCTAAAATGATTGGCAGCTGTTGAAGAACAGCTAGTTAACTCTTTGGGTATGCATCATAAATGTATGTTGCATACCCAAAGAGTTAACTAGCTGTTCTTCAACAGCTGCCAATCAAAGCCCTACTAAGTTCACCCTTCAGTGTGAAATCAGGGAAAGAGCCACCTGATTACCTGCTGGACATCCAGTTGCTTTAATACCGGAAATAGAGATTCATCCGTTTTAGTCCTGTTCCATCCAAAATACCGCTGACAAAATATGCAGGCAGTTAAGGTTATAAATGCTTTCAAAGGTACTTAACAAGTGATAAATAAAAGATCCAAAGAACTGACCCTTTATTCCCTTTCAAAAGATTTTCATATTTAAAACATTAAAGAGGTAATGATAAAAAGATAAGAAATTATTCCAACATGATCATCTTGCAGTATGTTCTTTTCAAATCCTGTAAGGCAGAAGAAACTCCACCCTCATTTTACGACGTCAGCCTTTTGACTATGAAAAGTCTGACTTAGAATAAAATATGTTTCAGATATCTTGTCTATGAAAGAAAAAAAATAAACTGTAGCTAGATTAATTCTACTCTAACATTTTAAACATCAACTGAAATACTTAAATTTAAGTATACAAACTAGAAAACCAGCAATAAAAAGGACAAAATTATGTGGGGCTGGGATGCAGCTCGGTGGCAGAGAGAGCACTTGCCCAGCACTCGTGAGGCCCCGGGTTCAACCCCAGCACCACACACACAAAAAAAATCATCATCATCTTTCCTATTTTTTTCAAAATAAACAGTACTTAAGTATGTGTTCATGTCTATGAATGCTATCATGGCTTATCTGAAAGAAGATCCTCTTTAATACTGAGAGGGAAAAAGGAACTAAAAGGAGGGTTTCAAGTGAATGTGATACCAGGGGAAAATGATCCAAGTTCTTGTTCAAAAGTTTAACAAGCCTTACTATGGCTCAATGTCCCTTATGTTTGCAGAGATTCAAGGATACTCTCTAATTTTGTCAAGATCCGGTTTCCCCCACAGAAACGAGCCCTTTGAGTCATCCACCACAGGTCTGAGGTAAGCATCCGCAACCGCTGGGTTAGGGAAACCAGGTGTGAGTTGCAATTTCCGTAGTTTTTTCTTCACTTTGGTGTCATAAGGATTGGGTCTTATCTTCTTATTTTTTTGAGCTTCATGCCACCACTCTCTATAAGGTAAAGAAAATATTTATAAAGTAATGAGACAGTGTAGTGCATGCACTGGGGGTAAAGAACTGAAGGTAGAGTTCAGAAATGGAAAATTCAAATCCTAATTCCAATGCAAAGTGAATGATGTATAGAACACTAATTGTACTGCTTTCAGTATTATTAACCACGAGGAATAGTGATAGGGAACATTTATTAAATGATGTCTCTGTACTTGGTACTGTTCAATATTTTATCTACCCCATAATCAAGCAGAGTCCTATCATCAGCCTCACCCAGAGAGGAAACTGAACTCAGAAAGAAGAAACTTGCTCAAGATTTGTAGTTGGAAGTGAAAAGCCTCTCCCAGAGCCTTCATGCATAATTACACTACCACAACAATTTCTCCAGGTCTCCTTCTCAGCAGTAAAATGAAGCAATGTATCTGCATTTTCACCTCTAACAAAATGCATCGATGAATACAAGAGTATTCAATAAAAGGTGAAAATGCCGAGAACATGGTAAATTTTATAGTTGAAAAACATAAGTCAACAAAAAGCATCCTATCATTTCTTTTCCCAGAGGGGAACATATAATGGAAAAAGGTCAACAGATATTAAAAATAATAAATAATAATACAAAATATTACTTTCTTGTGTGTTAAGCAATGTTCTAAGCAAAGATATGGCTATTTTTTCTTTATATTTTATCCATTTTTTCCATTCTAATACTCATCTATTATTTCTTGAACTCATCCATTGTGGTTAAAGAAAGCTACATTTTTTTTTTCTTTCCATAAAAATGTGGGACTGGGGGAGGTTCTGGGGAATTAAATTTATTGAATTATACGCATGTATGAAAATTCTACAATAAAGCCCAATATTCTGTATAATTAATATGTACCTAAGAAAAGAAAGAAAGAAGTGGGGCCAGACGCTCTGGGACTGGCTGGCCAGGGTAACAGGAAGTAGCACTGTGCTGGGCTAGGAGGATATCCTTTCCACTTTCCTCTTCCTGCCTCTTGGAACATTTGCTCTTGGAAGCAGCCACCAGGCTTTGAGGAAGCCAGTCTCACGAGCAGGTCCAGATGGAGTGGGTGCAAGGCCCCACCCACAGCTCTGTCTGGGCTTCCAGTGACAGTAAGACCACCTGGCCAACGTGTGTGTCAGCTATTTAAACAGATCCTTGAGCCCAGATGAGCTGTTCAAACAACATGGAGCAGAAACAAAACACACCCAGGAAGCTGACTAAACTTTAGATTCATGAGCAAAATCAATGACTTCTGCCATTTGAAGCCCCTGAGATTACAAGGTAGTTTGTACCGCAACAGCAGAACACCAGGAAAAATAAATACATAAAGTTAAAAACATAAAAATAACCCTCACCAATCCATGGACTCAATGGAACACACCTGCCCCCCGACCCACAAAAAACCCACTGCTTCTCCCACTTACTGGTGTTGGGAACTAATTCATGGAGTGGTATCAGCCTGCGTTCCACCTCATGACACACGAGTGCCATCTACTGTTGAAAAGACTAACTGCAGTCTTCGTTGAATCAAAACACACACACACACACACACAAATAAACAATAACAATCGTCGTCGTCGTCTATCTTCATCACTTTTATAACACTGTTTCCGAGGGTGTCCTGGGGAAATGCCCACGAGCCTGCCACCACTGCTTCACTTTTGAATTTTCATCATGACTGCCAGGTAGGAGAATGTGCTCAGCACACTGGGCTCATGGAGCCAAAAAGACCACTACTCCTTAAGCAAGAGGGCCAGACACTTAACATCCAGGACGAATTGTGGCATCTGTCAATCAGCGTGGCTGTGGGAGGAGAGCAGGGAGTAGTGACACCTGTGATGGAACTGAAGGACTGGTGTGCAGGAGGGAAGCAGCTGCTGCTCCAGCTCAGCTGCTGTGGGACAATCAGGGAACCTTCTCCCCAAAGAGAAGCTGAATTTTCTTGTGAAATGGCCCCAGATTCAAATGTTGGTAGCCAGTTCAAAAATTAAGGCTCTATTAAAGTACACAGAGAGTAGGCCAAACCAGAATTAGTTGACTACACACGGCCTGCTGGCCCAGAATAGCTCCACTTTAAAGAATGATTGACTAGCCAGGGTCTGGTTAGGAGATGATGAGACGAGAAAAGCACGGTCGCACACTCAGCTCCACTGGCCTCCCACCACTCCTCCTCATTAACTCTGTACCATCCTAAACCTCTGAGTCAGGCAGGGACCAGGCTGCTCCCATCCTGTCTTTAAGCAGCTAGAAGATCAAAGAGAGAAACTGCTAAAGCTGACTCTAAGTATATAACACAGTTTCAACCTGGTTTAAAAAAGTAATTACAATGTGCGTTGAGTATACTGTGCATAGAAAAGTTTAAAATATATAAAGCAAAATATTTAAAGTAGGTCCTTTTTAATCCACACTTTACAAATTGTTATGTATTTATTTCATTTGTATAATAAAGTTACTTGGCATTTTTTTCCAAGTTATTTATCATGATATATGAGTGACCTAGTAACTTAACCCTGGTACATACATTTCATCAACAATAAGAAAAATATGGGAATAGAGATAAAGAAAGCATTAATAAGATACACCGGTGTGTATGCTAAGTCTGAATATAGGCCAGCAGTCAGTACTACAATTTCTGATTTCATCCAGTGACTCTGATCACTGGTTCTCCAGACCAGAACGTCCCACATTTTCCAACCACAGGACAAAGGAGATGTAACTGTAGAGAATACAAAATCAAATTGCTACCAAGGCCAGAAGATGCCATCACGTCTTGTGATTATGCTAAACACCACAGAACTAGTCACTTCAGGGGTGACTTTTATGGTGTGTGCAAACTGTCTCTTCTTTTTTTTTTTTTTCCTTCTTTTGCAGTGCTGGGGCCCTATGCGAGCTAGTCAAATGCTCTACCGCTGAGCTATAGCCCCAAGAAAGAACTACTTTCACAGATGTGCTGATGACTCCTACCATCTCAGAGTCACCAGAACTAACAGCTGAACGGCACGACTCTGGGCTCCAGACCAAATGAGATTCCACAACTGGACATACCACAGAATTCACAAGGCAAGGAACAGACAGCCACCTGGAGGCCTCAGAACACTGAACACACGGTGCAAGCTCCTTTGCTCCTCACACCCCAAGGGCACGGGAAGCCCCTCAGGCAGTGACTTGCTCATCCTTCAAATCCCCAAGGCCTGTAGCATCTGACTTATAGTCAGGATTCAATAAATACTTGAATGGACAAAATGGCTTGTACACTCCTCCCCTGGGACCAGGAGAAGCCTGGTGCCACTCAAGAAGGAAACTGACTCTGATCTCATGAGGACTCCAGGGGATCAATGAGCACCTCCTGCTAGTCTCTCAGTCCACAGTGATCTGTGACAGCTCATGAATTGAGAAAAAGTTCCATTTGCTAGAATGGGTATTTCTACAAACATCTGAACTAAAGAACTGTAGAAAGAACTTACGAGAATTTTAGGAGAGGTTCCAGGCCACGTCCAGGGAATTCATTGAGAATCTCCATGGCTGTTACACAGCCTACAGTTGGTATTCCTTCAGTGTAATCACTTCCAAGCAAATAGGCCAAGTTTATTAATTTGTTCCGATCTAATCCTACAAGAGTAGCAATTTTAATTTAAATATTTATTTTATAACATTTATAAACATAATCACATAAATTACATAATTTACATAAATGTTATATAAACGTTACATACACACACATATACACACACACTCAACAGCCAAAGATATCTCCTTTTATTATATGAAATAGATTTTTTAAAATGGCATTCTATTCAGATTTTTAAAGTTTCTCTGTTCTCACAGCTTCAAATTCCCTCTACATGCTAACCTTTGAATTTAACTATCTAGCGTGGCTGCCTCTGAACCACAGTTGCATATATTCAACTACAAACTCTGTATCTCCACTTGGGGATCCCATGGGCATATCAAATTTGACACATTCCAGCCTGAACTCTTCCCTCTCCCAGTTCCACTCCTCTTCCTAGTCTCCCTCATCCTGTTGATGGTGGGTCCACAACACAGGCTGCTTGGTACCTTGTTCCTCTCCTCTCCCCTCCCACACCAGCTGGCCCACATTCCCTCCTCCAGTGCAGGACAATGGCCTTGACCCAGGTCTCTCCATACTCTCCCACCATGTAACTCTTCCCACTCCTGCTAGCCTCCTGGGAGGGGACTTGTGCCTCAGGGCCTCTGCACTTGCTAGTCCCTTTGAGCACTTATCACCAAGTGCTTCTCTAAAGTACTTACAGATCTCCTTCAGGCCCCTAAGGCTACCTATAAATACGGTTTCTCCAGACTGTCAATAACTTATGCATTTGCTCATTATCTGTTTCTCCTACTAGACTGCTTCATTCCATCTCCCTATCAAGAATAACTGGCATTCAGGGATCACTTGATGCGGTATTTGCAGAAAGAGGAACCAATACTAGGAACACCAGCGTGGGCCATGGGCAGGAGTCACTCCACCCGATTCCTCTCTCCTACCCTGGTTCACTCTGGAGAGCTAATGACTAGTCAACTAACCAGGTCAGATGATTAAGCTTGGAAAAAAACTAAATATACCAGGACTTTGATTGAAGTCCAGTTTTCAAAATCCTATTTCTCCACTTAAGTAAAAGATCTCTTACATGAAAACTTGTATGCACCTAACCATTTCCATTAAGGCATCAAATTAGTTCCCTGGAAAGAAAACAATGCATAAGGCAAATAGCAAAGGTAAATTTCAGAAATCTACTCTGAGGTCTTACCTAATTGGTTGTGAAAGTCCACATATTGGTAATATTCTACATATTTGTTTTTATTGAAAAAGTTCTTATAGACATGCCGTGCTCCAAACAGCCAGATGTCACTATCATCGGTGATGGTTCCAGAAGTCTGGTCGGTGAGGTCCAGGATGGCACACTGCGCCTCCGCCTCCATGGGAGCCTCGATGTAGGGAATGCCAAACAGGCGCAGGAGCTCCTGCAATCAGACACAACAGCCCCGGGGAAATGCACCCAGGCCGCAGCCAGAGGGAGCAGTGCAACCACACGCCATCCAGCCTTCCCTGGGGTCTAAGGAAGGGATGCGGATGCCCCGGCCAAGGAACACACCTGGCTTTCCAGGAACATCTGTCCCGTCACAGTGGCAGCGATCCGCTCTTGCTGCTGCTTCTGAGCTTTGAGTGAATTCTGTTGTGCTAAGAGGTTGCTCTCCAGGGTTTCCAGCTCCTCCTATAGAATAATTTTTCATTTGCAGATAATTATATTAATAATCCAATTAAGTTCATTTGTTACAAAAAGCCTGCATTTAATCTGACTGAAAATATCAACAACCTTCTTCTCCACATAGATTTCTGAGCAAGACTATAATACCTGAGCTCCCTCACTAAGTCACAAGAAAAGCAGAGTCTATCCCAGACAGTAATCTAGATAGAAAAGAAGCCATCAACAAGAAGATTCATTGCAATCAGCTAATAAATTTTCATCCAACAACTCTTAAAACTCAAAAGCTACTGAGGTCGGCTTCTTAGCAATAAGTTGAAACAGGCTGCATTATTACCAAGTTGATATCTTGCCATTCATCCAGGGAGTCTTCTGCTTCCTTTTCAGCTTTTTTGCGTGGGTCAGTATCAGAGTCCTCGCCTTCTGAGTTGTCCTGTAGGAGGCTCTGGGTGCCACCAGGGGCTTCTTCCTCCTCAGTTCCTCTTGGCTCCTCTTCACTTTGTTCAGAGGGAGGTTCGGAAGCTTCAAGTTCATCATCACTTGTCACATTCTGCACTTCAATGAAGCTTCCTGTACCAAAATAACAGGGTCACTTCATCTGCAACTGGAACATGGAAATTATCCTGAAACCATCAACACCTTTCTGAAGAACCCTGAAAAATGTTGTCTCCAAAGAGAAAATCTGAGTTTAGAAGAATACATGCAATTAATGTTACTGTTAAACAAACTCAATCACAGATGCCTGTAACTTCAAAACAAGCCTTTTCAATTAGATAGAGTTTGATTCCTACCTTCAAAGATAGTCTAAGATTTGCATATTAGATTAGTCAACTGTTATATGTCCTAAGTTAACTAATATTGTTTTTAAAATTCAAAAGGAGTCTGGGGTTGTGTCAGTGGTAGAGCACTTGCCTAGCATGTGTGAGGCACTGGGTTCGATCCCCAGCACCACATAAAAAATAAATAAACAAGATAAAGGTATAAAAAATATTTTTTTAAAAAATTCAAAAAGAAAAATTATCAAGTATAGATTGTTAAATATGACTTTATGCCATTTCACTATGAAAAGAGTAAATAAAGCTGAAAAAATCCCGGGTAATACTCAGAGAAATAGTTCTTTCTCTTCCACATTCCTTTCCTCTTCTCTTGTTATTTTTTCTTAATAAATACATATTGGTTCCATTCCTTGCTTTCAGGGGAGGGGGCTTGCACGTATTTGTGTGAGGAAACAATCAGGACAGAGAGGAGCAGATCGAGGAGGAGCCAGAGGTAAGGGGAGATCATTATAGATAAAGAAAGAAATAGCAGATAGGTAAATATATTGAAGATAATGGGAGGAAGTTTCTCACTGTTAAGAAAATTATAGGGGCATGAGGCACTGGGTTCGATCCCCAGCACCACATAAAAATAAACAAACAAAAAATTGTGTCCATCTACAACTAAAAAATTTATTTTAAAAAAAGAAAATTATAAAGACAGGGGAGGTTAGAATAAACCCTGGATGTTGGGAATTACAGATATCAGTGTGAACACCTGGATCTTAATACAAAGATAGACCCAGAAATAAATATAGATGTGTGCACACATGCATCTGTGTATGTATACGTAAATGTAGCTCCAGGCTCTGTTGCTGAGGGAAACAGGGAGCACTTAGCACCCAGCCATGCTTTCTAAATATCATGCTCCCTGAAAGAAGAAAGGGTCCTTGGTGAGAAGACCAGGGTCAGGGCATGAGTTCAACACAGGCCTGGAACATCTAGGCCAGAAAGTAAGGAAATGCTCAAAATGTAAGGGGGGATTGTCGAAAGCCACAGGAGCCAGCTTGAAGAGGCCCCACTGGCCAAAGCTGGGACAACTCAAGCAAAAAAATAAACTGTCAGAGTATCAGATTGTAACTCACTGAATAAAGCCAGAATCCAGGAGGCCACACAGAAAAAAATAAAAATAAATGAGGGAGTAGAGACAGATCTTCCTTATAGTAGGGTGCCCACTGATAAATATACAAGGAATGACGCAGTCAGAAAGCCCCATTTGGTAACTATCATAGCTACAATTTACACAGATAAAGTTATCAATGGATACAAAAACAAGTGGCTACACGTGTGTTCGGGTGCACTGTACTTATTAATCACAACTGGGAAATCATGAGTTTAGAATGTAGAGGCCCAACAGACACCAGGACACAAGGTGAGAGTGTATGTGTACGAAGATCTTCATCATGCAGGGTTTGGTTTATAAAGTTATGTGAACACTAAATTGGCAAAAAGAGGGTCATTGCTCCTGCAGAGAAATATGTGTATCTATATGAATATGTTGCACATATACTTTTGGTCCTACTAAACAACCCACCTTGGCAGATTACATTTTCTCCATTTTACAACAAGGAACGAGGTTCAGAAGTGTTGGGTGGCTTCCCCGAGGTGGCCCTACTCACAAGTTCTGAAGTTGGGATGCAAACCCCAACGCTGCAGCTGCTTCTACCACACTGCCACCCCACTGTCCCCACCCTCTGGCCATCTCTGCAGGAGCTCTGAATCAAGGCAGATCTCATTGGGGAACAGTGTGGCGATAGAAATCCCCACACCCTGCAATGTTGGCAAACGACACAAAGTACTGACTCTAGAGTTACAAATAATTTTATACAAATGTAGCATCTACACATAATGAGCACCAGCAGCATATAAGTACATACAGCAATAGACACATATATCATATCCATGGGGAGAAAGCCTAACAACAGTGGCAGACAAAATAAGAAATGATAAGACAAATACAAAGTGCTTGTCACTGAGGTACTGGCAAAGGAGCCTGAGAGCTAAAGGCAAACCCCAGCTTTGCCTTCTCCCTCTAGGGTACTACCCCCACTTTATAGCCAACAATGACGGAGCTTTGCAAAGCAGGACGGACGAGGACGCAGTCCCAGCTGTGAGTCCCTGCAAAGTCATTTCACCTCTTTCTGGTTTCTCATCTGTAAAAAGTGGGAACGGGGCTACGCTAAGGGGCCTCTCAGCTCCCACCCCACCTCTGCCGCTTGGAAATAGCACAGCACTTACCATCAGATTCACTTTCTTCAGACTCCATCTCCACTGGTTCCAAGGAATTCAGGACTGACACTCGCTCCTGGCCCGCGGGTGTAGTTATTTCGCATTCCTGGATGGTTTGGGGGATATCCTCGTGCTCTGCAGCATTTAAGGGCATGGCATTTTCTAGGTTACCTACTGCCTCTGAAGGGACACTTACTATGTCCCTCCTTTCTTGTAAAGTGCTGATGCCAGTGACCTCAGCGGGCCTTGCTCCAGCTTCTCTTTCATCATCGCTTGACAAAGCAGAATCATATCCACTCTGGGAAGGGCCAGGACCTGCCCGCACCTCGAGCTCCTCAGCATGTGCTTCGCTCCTGGGTTCAGAAGCTGTGCTTGTGGGAGGTGTCTGTGTCAGTTCCTGTCCCCGGGGGAGCCCGGGCCTGTCACTGTGTGGAAGAGGACCCTTCCTGGCCTTATCTGTGGACTCACTGTTCATCTGAGAGACTCCCTTCTCCGTGTGAGTGAGTGGCATGTGTTCTTCTGGAACGTCAGACTTACTGCCTTGACTAACTAGAGTGCTCAACAAATGAACCGAGTCTGTCAGCTCCTCTCCACTGCCAGGGCTGGCCCCGGGCTCCTCCAGGAAGTGCACGTTGGCTGGAGGGGGGCCCGTGGTGAGCAGCCCTGCTCCCCCTTCTCTCACTTTAGGCCCTTCAGCATGCTCTTGGCCGGGGCTGTCTCTAAGCAGCGTCCTCACTCCTGGCCCTCCTGCCGGCATGCTGTCCCCGGCACTCACTCCCACATTTTCGTCATCATCAAGAGCTCTCTGAATGGCCAAGAGGGTCCGTGGTGATACGGAGCCTTGGTCTGGCGCAGCACCCCTCTTGCTGTGCTGCTTTGGGGCTCCACTCTCAGGCTCCTCTTCGGAGCTACTGCCCAGCATGGCGGCTTGCAGAGCTAGCAGCGTTCTTGGAGAAGGAGGGGTGGCATCAGGTTTTTTCTCTGGCTTTGGGTTTTCACAGGGAGATGACTTCATGTCAAAAGAAATGTTGTGCATTTTGCTGGAAGAAGGAAGAGACTCCAAACCCACTTCTTCCACTTTCTTAGCTTGAAAACCTTAAGAAAAAGTAAAACATTTCTCACCACACAGTTCACAGTGTGACCACATACTTCTAGTAAGATGAACGAGATGTCACTGGTTCCCATAAATGAAGTTACAATTTTTGCTAAGCAGCAATTAATTTTTAGCTAATAGATTAGTTAATCAGCAAATTAGTTAATTTTAAACTGGGTTGGCGCTGGGTTCATCCATTTATAGCTGCATAAGTAGGACCTCACTATCATTATCCAGGACCGGTAGTTTACCGAACTCAGAACCACTACATACCTTTTATCAATATGTAATGTGAAGTGTCCTCAGAGACCACTCTCCTCGATTCTACCTCCTTCAGAAAACCCCCTTCTTCTTCATACTGCCTCTGGATCTGTCCTGAGTGCTGTTGATTCATTTCTTTTTGGACATTTTCTATGTGCTGGTTTAGATAGTTTTTTTTAAGCAAGCCTTTGAGTTGGTACTGTGAAAAGTCATTGGACTCCTAGAGGCAAAATTAACAAATAAAATTACTGTTTTACATTTAATACAGACACTATTCCACCTTTTCCCCCAAAAGGGGACAAAAAATAATTGCCCGTTTTAATTAGTGGTAGTTTCATATTATACAAATACATTGGTTTATTTTACAATATTGTAACATAAAAATAAAAACTGAACACTAGGACAGACTATAACTGCCTTTAAAAAATAATCCTTAAAACAAAAGAATTAAGCAAAAAATATAGAAATTATGGATACTGTCACAATTTAATCAAAAATATTTATTGAGTATACACAAAACAATCTTGGTCATGGCTTAACACATAATCTAGAATGCAAGTGGCCAACACTGTCCTTGGCCCATAGAAGACATACACCATAAGTCACAGCAATCACAGTTATTAAGAGTAATAGTAAAATTTACAAAGCTTTCCTGTAAAGGGCATTCTTCTATACACTTTGATATAAACCATCTCAACTTATTCTCACAACCACCCTATAAGACATTATTTCCCTTCTGCAAATGAGGTTAAGTAACTTGCCCAGAGGCACATGGCTAATAAGTGGTAGATATGGGATCCAAAGCAGACATATTTACCAAAATTGAGCTACTACTATTACTATTAGTACTACTGCTCACCCTCACAACTAGCATCAACATCACCTTTACACAACATACAGATGATACAAAACCCGGAAGACTCAGAACAACTCTGTTCCATCAAAATGAGAGATGCAACAAGCTGCTACTCCACACCACCTTTCAGTACTGCACTTGAGATGTTTCCCTGAAGGAGAAGATGAGGAGCAGGTAAGGAAGAACTGCGTCCTATTTCCTCAAGTACTACGGAGATCCTGTGTGAAATAAAATGCCTGATACACACAAGGGGCCCAAATATTTTTCCCTGAAATAAAAATAAATTTACTTCTGTACACCCAAAGACCCAAGCATCTCATTTCTTTCCATCTCAGTACTTTCCCATCTTCACATCCCACATGGGAAAACAGAAGAAAGTGAAAGGAAAAGAAACATATCCTGCCCTTTTCCTACTTCTCATGTCAATTGAAGAAGTACTCAAAATCTTCAGAAAACTTTTTTTAAAAAAATTACTATGTCCCTCAGTAGGGATAATGTCACAAGTTTTGCTTCTGTCCTGCAGTGGGCTAAAGAAGAACTATGGAATTGTAACTAATGCCCATTTCACCTCTGCATTGCTTCAAATAATGTTGTTCTTTGCTTGGTGAATTCATTTTTTTCCCTCAGGGATAAAGTTTAATCTCACCAATTTTGCATTCTATGCCAGATAGATATTCTTACATACTTAGAGAATTTACTTCCCATTAAGAGTATAAAACAAGATTATTGGTTGCAATTTACAAAGAGAAGGTAACTGCGAGAATTTACTAATCTTTCCTTCATCATTAAATATACATGTTCTTAAACAACAGAAATACTTCTGTTTTATGCTAAAACTATGGATTGAGTCACAACTGTTCATACAGTTATAATGGATTGTAACATTTACTTTAAGATGGAAAATTTATAACACAGATGTTACTATCAGACTCCAAACCAGCATTAGAATGGACTTGTAAACTTAATGTAATTATTTCCCCTTAATATGTTAATTACAGAATATTTGAAGAAGCTCAAATGACAAAGGAAAAAAAAAATTGTCCACTGCCCAGGGACAATGTCACGACAGCTTGTTGCATTTCCTTCCTGTCATTTTCAACTCTATTACCAGAAATTAACATATAATTTCAGTACTGCTTATCAAATTTCTCTCCTTTCTAATAAGAAGTTCTGCTGATGTTTTTCATTCTAAGTATTAACATACTACTGTATACTAATGTCTATGTCACCTCTGGCATTGCTTCAAACAATGTTCTTCTCCGCTTGGTAAATTCTTTCATATCTGTCAAGATTTCATGCTTTACTTCCGGGGGTAGGCTGGTGAAGTCCTCAGACTCAATATCTATTGAGTGAGGATTATGGAAGAACTCTTCCTGTAAAGAGTAAAATATAACACAATGAAATTTACATTTCATACACTTAATTCAATTCACTGTTACACTCAAATGAATTTGGTTATCAAAGAATGTTATCTGCTTTACTAGGAAACTTGAGAATATGTTCATTTTAAAAACTTTTATATACAGTATGACTTGAATTTATAAAAACATTATTCATTAAAATATGTGCAGTGAGAATGTTAAAACACATCCAGATTCATTGACATTCTTGTCTAATTCTCTTCTTAAATAGGCACTGGTCCTAGGAACTGACTTCTAACTAATAGAAAGTGGTAGAAAGATACTATATAACTTCCAAAGCTTGGTTAGAAAGACAGCGAAGTTTCTGCCTGGAACTTTTTTTTTTTTGGAATGCTTGCCCTTGGAACACAGCTGCCATGCTGGGAAAAAGCCCAGGCCATGTGGAGGCCACACACAGGTATTCTGGTGGCCAGCCTCAGTGAGGTCTATCTGACAGCCAGCGTCAACAACTGGACATACAAGTCCAGCCCTGGCTGTAGACTGACCTTTACCTACATGGTGGGCTCCAAGAGAGCAGTCCTAAATGAGCAGATCAACACCCAGACCAAGACAGAATGTGAAAATGCTCACTTCTATACCAAGTTACATGATAACAGATAACTAGAAAGTAGGCAGACATGCACACAAACAAGTGCATATACACATGTACATTTGGTGCATACTCGCACACCCAAATACAAACACAGGTATTCAACCAGATGGGTTGGGGAATGTGATCTACAATATACCAAAATTTTACTCCAAGTTAGTCCAGATGGTATGCTTTCTATATTCTACACAGGCACGTATTACTATTTATTGATTGGTCATTTGATTGGCTATAAAGAAAATGGCTATTTTGGACAAACATATATAATGGCAATTCCATACATGTGTATATGGGTGAGTTTTTATTTATACACACACATAAATGCACAGATATGTACATATATGCATATAAATACACACAATAAAAAGGGAATCTGTATTTACTTTTTATCAGGGACTTTGATTAATATACAATAACTAATCAATAGTATTTTCACGTTGATCATTTCAAATAACAAAACACATTCTGAATTTCAGAATTATTTAAATACCTGTAATGCTTGTTTCTGATCCATTCTTTCTTGCCACTCTTTTTCATCTTCTTCTTCTGAACTGAAAGTCAAACACGTATTTACAAAACCTAAGACCATTTTGAAGCCTAAAGATTTACTGAGTGCAAGATGCTGCTAGTGTTAGGGGCAACAACAGCAAATAAGCCAGCAAGACCTGGGCACCAGGGGCCGCACTGTCTGGTGGGGAGCACAGGTAAGTCGGCAACCACAACATGACCTCAAAGCCTGAGCCGTGAGGGAAGGGCAGGCTGCTGAAGGTGCACCCAGGAGAGTCATCTCAGTCCCATTTGGAGAGCCAAGAAAACTGTCCACGTCTCCTAAATTACACTGGCTGGATTCAGCCACTAGTAAATGTGGTGTCCAGTTGTGGGGTACAGAGAGATTCATGGAGGGAAGTTTTCCAGAGGGAAGAACTAAGCTTTAGAACTATCTAAAAACAAGGGAAAGAGAGCCTGCCTGTGGCCAGTGTGGTGACCAGAAGATGAAGCTGGAGCATGTGATTAGGGTTGACATTTATCCTCGAGAAATAGACAGAAATGGCCTGGGCTCAGCCCCTGCTGCCTTGTCTCCTGGGAATGGGGGCTAAGGATGAAAACTAGTCCTCCATCTACACACCAAACACAGACGCTGCGGGAGGCGGACAGGCCACCAGAAGAAGAGGGGCTCACAGAGAGTACTGAAAGGCACAGTCCCAGAACACAGGCCAGCAGGACAAGTGATCTGACCTCAGGGCTGAGAAGCGAGCACACCACAGTGCACGGTGCCCCCTGGACTGAGCAGCAAGGGTGTGACATGTGGGGTCTCAGCACATGGTGAGAGATGAAGCAGGTGACGAGAGCGCGCCAAGCAAAGTGTAAGACAACCAAAATGCTTGTCTTCCAACTTATAAATCCAGTGCTAGCAAAGGCTCTTCAGTATGCAAAAGAGCAACAGATCTCCAAAGCACAAAGACAAGTCAGAAAATGACAAACCTGGATTTTGGAACACATTCTGAAGGGTATAGAGAAGGTTCACTAATAAATCCCCACAGGCCTTATCATGTAGGTAAAACATAAAGTTTAACTATCTCAATACCACAATGACTAAAGTAATATTCTTTTTTTTTTTTTTTTTTTTAAAGTAATATTCTTAAATAATTAAATACTTACCTATGTTTTTCTTCCTCTTGTAAAGGTGGCAAAACGTAGATGTCATCCTCTCTTCGAACTTGTGTAAGACTGGGTAGTGCTTCATTTCTGAAAAGCAAACAAAACTCTGTAAACAGAGAACATATAAAAACGTATTTTGAGTTGGTCATCTTCCCACACTGCCTACCAAGCCTGCTCAAAGGCAGTGGCTCTCCCCCTCCTGGGGGGCTCTCCAGCACGGTGGGAGCTAAATACAGCCCAGAGGAAAGAAGGAGACTCACAGGGGCTCCTCAGCCTTGGCCACAGCCCACCCACAGTCAGAAGATGGAGCTTTATAAAGAACCAAGTGGGGCTGGGTGGGCAGCTCTGTGACAGAGCACTTGCCCAGCACATGAGGGGCCTGGAGCTCAACCCTCGCACCACAAAATCAATGAATGAAATGTAAGCACTGCGGGGGGGGGGGGGGGGGGGGGGGGGGGGGGGGGGGGGGGTGGGGGGGGTGGGGGGTGGGTGGGGGGGTGGCCCAGCCTTTCTCATTAGCAATGCTGATTCTCCTGGAAGGGGGAGATTCACCAATTCAAACTATCAGAACCAAGGGCAGTCTACTTATCCCTCTCATTTCACTCTCTATTTTCTTTTGAGAATTAAAGTTACAGAATGAGAACCCTAGGAATGCAATACAAAAGTGAAACATTTTTAATTAATCTCCCAAATCACTGTAATTCCCCTCTTGCCTTTTGCTGCTGAAGGCGGTTTTGATAGCCTGTCTTTTCAAAAACGTTTTCAGAAGCTTCTCTGTAGTTTTTCTGGAGTCACTGGAGGCCAAATCCTTCCTCTGCCTTCTTTTTGCCTATGAAAAGCAAGGACATAAGATTTGAATTCAGAGTTATCAGTCTATTAAGAACATTTCTGTGATTGTTTTTTTTCCCCATAAAATTTGGCTTGTCTGAGTTTTGAGATGACGGCTGTTCCAGTGTCTCCTCCAGTGAGCACCCTCAGGTTTCCGCTACGTGAAGGGCACCCAGAGCTTCCACCTATTACTTATATAGTTTATTGGGGGAATTATTTGTTACTCTCAGGCTCTTTTAAATGTCTTTTAATATGGCCTAAGAAGCCTAAAACTTGATATGTAATCAAATAAATGTTTCCCAAAATGAATGACAACATTAATTCTTTAAAATGCTGTTATGCCAGAAACAATTTTCGATATTACTTTTTTGCATTACTTGTATGTAACTCTGCCCCTCAACATCCAAGATTCTGTCAGATGAAATCCTAAAATGTACAGAAACATCTTAAAAGGAAAATCTAACTAGGGATAAATGAAACAATCTCTGTGCTTATGGTTGAGATAGGCAGGAAAAACAAAGTTATCCTCTTTTCCTTTCTAATCTTTCCAAAAAAGGACTTGACACAGAGTATGGCAAACTAAAACATTCAGGTCTAGACATGTATACAGAGTTAACAAATGTGCTCAAGCATTATGAATTTATGAATCCTCACTTCTACTCTTATTTCCTCACTTGGATAATAATTTGACATGATTATAAACTGATGAACTGATGAGCTGGCATTTTCTACATATAAAAGTCATATAAATCATTATTATTATTTGGATTGCTTGAAATTTTTAAAAACTACTTTCAGAACGATAAGGAAAATCACTGTCAATCTTTTATATCAGGCCCAAATTCCTCCCTGGATAATCCACTTCATCACCACCTTCAACCGCACCACACTGCGGCCTCCTGAGACCCGACCCACCTTTAAAAGAAGAGGTGGTACCAATCTCACTTTCAGGGAAATCTTAAACAGGTTTTCCTTAAGGTTCTGAGCAATGGTAGCACAGTGGGAATAAATGTGGAATACCTAAACAGATACTCTAAAGAGAAAACTCTCAAGTTCAAGAATTCTAGTAGTTCTAGTTAAATTTTATCATCCTACCATGATGTACTATAATAAACCTTCTTGAAAAAAGAAAAACTTGCTTGTTTGTTAAAGATGAATTTTAAAATGTAGTTGAAATTAAATTGGTTATATGTCAAAGTAAGTCTTGGTATCTAAAATTCTAAAAAGAAAATAAAATTAGAAGATACTTACCAAAGTCTGCTTCTTCAACAGTGGAGCATCCCCATCGAACACAAAAATAGGGCGAATTCGAAAATATAAGAGTTTGCAGAGCCGATGAAACAAAGTGAGAAGATGGGCATTCTCTATGGCGTTCCCATGGCGATCCCGGGCTCCTTTAAGTGCCTGGTTGAGCCAAATGCTGATATCTGAGAGGACTGTTAAAGAAAAGCGTTCTGGAATGTCCTCCTCATCCTCACAAATTCAGCCTCCTATACCTGGTAATACCAAGCACTGAACACCAAGATCACCACTCATCTGAGATTTTAAAACGTCTGGCCCTGACGGGATCTCACAAGAACACTTAACTTTTACTATTCACATACTTAATTTTTATACCATTCAAAGACAGACATGTCCTTAAAAAAGAGAAATTATATCTGATTCAATTGTATATGTCAAGATCATTGTACTATCATGTGTAACTAATTTAAAACAAATTAAAAAAAAAAGAATTCCATTTCCAGGCACTCATCCTCAAGAAGCATCATGGCTTAACAAGATTCATTTACAAGAATGCTTGTATATAGCAAGGAAAATGAGAAGAGCAATTCAAAAGCTTTCCAACAGTTTTTTTTAAAAAAGAGTTCTTTTTAAAATCGTGACATATGGATCTGCTAAAATACCAAGGAGCTCTTAAAAATGGAAACTGAAGAAGCATGTTTAGTGACAAGAAAGACAGTTACAAATACTACTACAGGAAACTTACAGGTAACAAAAATATATGCACTCTGATTCCATTTACAATACCTATAATGTTAAACATAAAAATCTAGAAAGTCATTCACCAAAATATTAAATAGCAGCTATTGTGGCTAAAACCAAAGGTAATTAATGTTTTCTTCTTGGAGATTTCATTTAAATTTTCCAACAAATGTGCCTTTTAAAAAATTTTTTGTTGTTGTTGTAGATGGACACAATACTTTATTTTATTTATTTATATGTGATGCTAAGGATCAAACCCAGGGATTCACACGTTAGGCGAGCGCTCTGCCACTGAGCCACAACACCAGCCCTAACAAATGCACCTTTGAAAATGCACTTTGTACTTGTCCATAAGAGTGGCCCAGCACCCTGCTGCACTTCCTGCTCTCATTCTCTTCGCCAGCTCCTCCACCTCACCATGGAGGAGCTTTCTTTGACCTTTCCTAGGCCTTCTTCCCTCTTGTCTGCACCACTCCATGGGCCACCTCGGCCCCACATCACACCCTACCCACGTGCATCTGGCTTTCCTAACCACACACCAGACACCTAGTTGGCACCCCTACCTGATGCCTCACAGACATTTCAAGCTGAATTCCATGTGTCCACCAGGCCACTGAGGCCCCTACCTCGGTGACTGCCACTCCTATTCACCAGAGAGAACTCCAGGTGTCCTCCCAAGTACTCCTCTCCTCCAACCATTGGCAGATTCTACCAATCCCACCTTCTAGTGCACCTTCAAAGTGCATTTGGATCTCAGCAGCAACAATTAAAGCCCCCTGAGGCTCCCCATTACCTTTAGGATCCAAAGTTCTCCCCATGACCTACAAAAGGCCTGAATCTGGCCTCTGCTCATTTCTCCCATCACATTTTAAGCCACTAAGCTCCTTCCTACCTCAGGGGCCTTCTCACATACTCTTTCCTCTTCCTCTGAGTTTCCCCCTCTGTTTTGTTACCATCTACTGAGGTCTCAGTCTATGAGTCCCCTCCCCAGCCTAGATTAAGACCTCCTGTTACACATCCCTATTTAAAAATGCATTATTATGTGGCAGAAATTCTTCTATGCAGCACTGGACAGTTTCTGCCCTTATGGAGTTTACAATGTAATGGAAGAAAAGCAGAACCTATGAGCGCCACACTCATCTAAAGCACGCTTCTGTGCACTACACTCCCTTCCACACAGCCTATCAGAGTGCAAATAAGTATCTACTATTAAATGAGCTGAGCAGGTTAGTATTTAAGTGAATGTACAGAGCCTAATTTTTACAACCATTAAAAAAAAAAAAAAAAAAAAAAAAAAAAACTTAGGCTCATCAACAATTACCTAACTAAATGCTATGCAACAAAACAGCTAGTGCCCAGCACACCATGGTTTTATTTATTCCTGTAACATCAGTGCTGCCGTGGGCTGGGCATATACAAGGCTTTAGGGAGATGCATCAAGTGATACAGTTGTGAAGAAAACAGATGTGGTCCCCATCTCTGAGAAACTTAAATCCAAACAAGGGACACAGACAAATAAATAAATAATGGACATGTAACAACTTGGGTTGTTGGTGAGCACCAAGGAAGAAACAGAGCAGAACAAATGGACACGAGTAACCAGGGCTAAGGGTTAGGATTAGAGAGGGCTTCTGAAGAAGACACAGAGACCTGAATGGAGGAGAGAACAGGCCAAACACAATGCCCTAGGACCAAAGCCACTTAAATACTCAAGGCCCACACGGCAGAAGGGATGGTGGGACTGATGTGCAAGCATCACAAACAGCCACTGGATGACTTTCAGAACCCCGAGGATCTCGCTGGGGAACATGAGAAGAATGAACTACAGGGAAACCAGTTAAATTAGCTGTAACAGCTCATCCGGACAGCAGGCAGCTGTGGCAGAGACCATGGGAAGTGGTCAGGCCTAGACCCATCTTGGAGGCAGGACTCAGTGATGTCTTAGAGCCACACTGTACTGAATAACTATGTCTGCTTGCTACACTGTTGTACGGAATTACCTGTCTGCATAGTAAGTTTATTCTCAACTTTATGATCAGACAAAATCTAATTTCAGATTATTAACTCTCATTCATGCTCTTAAAACAGGATATGAAGCTTTTGAAATATAGATTACTAAACTCCATATGCCTAAAATACTGAATCATAGAGACTAGATGGGGTTTTTTCGTACTTTTAAATTTATCAAGGATAGTGTCAATCCTCAGCCAGTGTTAAGAGCTTCAGCTGGAAATTCTTAGAGAAGAAATACATAGACTCAGACAAGCTGAAAATATTTGCATAACTTGACTTGTCTAATTTCAGAAAGCTATGTCAGGCAAAATTAAACTTCTCCAAGGGGTAGAAAAGTTAAAATCTATAGCAAATCCAAAAATCATTTCATGTTAAAAACCCAAAGAACCAATAACATTTAAAAAGAACAACAATTTTTAAAATGTCCTTAGTTATAGAGTTAGGTGAGTTAATTTTGAAGTAATCCCCCGTTAGTATGCATAGCATAGAGTGTAGTAACTTCATAATACACTTACGTGCACTTTACAAATGTTAAGGTCCATAATAAAAAAGAAAAAAAAATTAAACCACTGATTGTATATTACTTAACAGCCATTTAAATCACATAAATAAACCAGACATTCAACTATTCAGATGGTTCAAAACCACTTTATTTAGAGACCCAAGAACAAACTATGAACCTGGTATAATTGTGAATAAGTTCTTTATTAACAAAAAATAAATAAAATATATATTTCAGATGTCTGAATTATTCTGAAGACAAAGAAAAATCAATTATACAAGCTATCAAGTACTGTATATGAGGTTATCATTGTAACTAGGCTGACAGTCCTCTTTAGCTAAATGATTAGTTCTTTAAAAGAGCCTAAAATAAAAATGACTTCATATTCCAAATGGGCCTCTTCGAGCCATCTGCAAACATATAATCTAAATTACATGGTTTACCTTTCCTTCCTTTGACGTCCTACAAAATTAGAAATGTGACCTTGGTGTTTCATATCAGTAGTTCTAGAAAATCTTAATCTTTTAAAAGGATTTAACCATAAAATGACCTAAATCTTTGCTGACGTTTTAAGGGTTCCTGACAGTAAAAACCATCTTTTCATCCACTGATAGGCCATCTTCAGAATGCAATTAGACCGAGAAACCACTGGGGGGCAACAGAGTGCGGGTGCGTAAAAACAAAAAAACTTCCTTTTCCCCAACTCAAGGTACCCTGAACAAAAGCTTTTAAGCTGAGCATTCAATGCGGATGTATTTGAATATTATCCACTAGGAAAAACGTGGTAATTATCTCATTATGTTCTTAAAATCATTAGTGTTCCTCTTCATACAATGGCTTCTTCCCGGTCCTCCATGAGGACACTGGTATGAGGTCTCCGCGGCTTCGGGGAGGGAACAGGTACCGGATCAAGGCAACACTACTTAGCGAATACAAGTGTCCAATACAAGCATCACGTTTTCATAATGAAAAAAAAAATTTAAAATTCCAAAGACACGAAATCAGCCAAATATGCACACAAGCCACTATCCTTAACAAGTCAGTCACAGGGAGTGGGAGGAAAAGTATTCACTGCGTACTTTCGAAAACTTTCCCAATGTCGTAACAGGAATTCCTGCTTCCAAAAACCATGATTTAAAGAGTTGCCGATTCAAAAGAAAAGGGCCAGACAACCTGGTCGCACAAGCCCCCTCCTTAAGTCACACGAAAGGAACTAGACTCAGAAGAGGAGAGGACACGAAGGGGTGGGATGCTCCCTGCCGACCTCCCACCCACGACACCACTTTAGTTCTGCAGAAACTTCGCCAAGTTCACCTGCACTTGGCAGATGAGCCACCGAGAGCGAAGGATACCCACAGCGAGGACCTTCCCCTCCAGGGCCTCGGGGCTGACCTGCCGCCCCGAGCACTCCAGCAGCTTCCAGAGCCCCTGGACTCCCATGGGGCAGGCGCGTCCGGGATCGGCCTTTTACTCCAGCTCTTCTACAAAGTCAGGTGACGCCACCTCCCGGAACCCAGGAGCGGAAAACAATAGAAAGCCCACGTTTCCCGGGGAACTGGCCCGAGAGCGCACCAGGAAGGGGAATCCACGCCAGAACACTTCCTGGCGGCTGACACCTCCTCCAGGAAGAGAGCGGACGGGGAACGGTTCGCGTTGGCGTAGAGCAGGGCCTCGACTTGTCAGGGCTTTATCCCAAATGTTTGCATTCCGATGGAAGACCGGGGTAGGCGATGAGAGAGGACGTGACAAACGACAGAAGGCATAACTCGGATTCTGCTAGCTTTCCTTGGGTGGGTCTGTAATTTCACAAGGAATGGTGCCTTCTCAGCTTCCTTCTCACAGAATGGTGGGGCGGAAGTCCCGCCCTCGTCCATGACGTCAATTCACTGCGTCCACTGCACTCCGGAAGCGAGGGAGCGTTTCCGCCCCAGTGTTTGGGTCTAGGTGCTCTCTTCGGTGCCACGGTCATCAAGTGTGGCCACAAGACTGTTTTTGCGGATGGCGACTTTATGTGATTTTTCAGCACCCGTTTCTCCCCCAGTGAGCCTCCAGTTGTGCGGAATCCATGTGGCTGCGGTGGTTTTAGGCAGGATTTGTACAGTAGCGTGTAGTAAGTAGATAGAAGTAGTAGAGTTCAAAGCTTCACCCAGCGTCTCAAACTTAGAATTCCACTGTTTGTGGACAGAAATGGCAAGAAATGAATTGGCCGAGTAGCCAGCCCTCAGGCCAACATTCAAATCACGACTGTACCTCATTAATAAGTTGCTGAGATCGTATTTGTTAAGAATTTTTATCTTCAGATGTACACATAGAAGTGAAACTAGATTTACAGATAGGTAGTGTAGTTAGGTCTAATATGGAGAATGGAGGCCATATTGAGAATAGAGTCCAGGAAAAGGGGTATTGAGAATGTCCCCAAGGCCCAGAGCTCATCCCAAGGAAATGTTAATGAAGCAGCTCCCAGCAAACACGGAGATGCTAATCCAAAAGTCCTTCCTGCCAATATTACTCTTTCAGCCCTCCTGTCTCCCCCACCCCCCTCGGAAAACTGAAAAAAGACCTTAGCTATAAAAAGGGGAAGACATCGCCCTTCCACAGATTTCACCTCTTGGGTCCCCTTTTTCCTGCGGGAGGAAGTCTTTTCGGCTGTCCTTTAATAAAGCTTTTACATTACACTCTAAACTTGCCTTGGCGTGCTTCTCTGGTGTTAATACTTCAGCACTGGGGAAGCAAGGATTCGTCACCGATAAACAGCATAACAGAAGCAGCCTTGCAGACTTGGCGAGGTTAAAAGGTGATGTGTGCAATGCTTTTAGCACTAGCTATCAAGTGAAAGTATTAACTTACACATTTGTTCAAATTTAAGTGATGTATTGAGAAGAGATTCCAATCCAGTGAAAAAAGTTGGTTTAAAAGAGCAGGTAATTTGTTAAAAATATCAGAAACCAGTTTTTAGCAAAACCATTTGTGTTCAAACTTAGTTCATAGTAGCCATGTTAAGTTGACTTACAATTTTCCATCAGGAATAAGCCTTACAAAATGCTTTTCACATTTCCTCCGTGGTAAAGTAGTACCCAGAAATTGTTCAGAGTTGTGTTTTACTGAGGGTAGTATAATTACATATTTAATTACATATTTAATTTTTGCCCCCAAACCACAGAAGACTATAAACTTAATGAAACCAAGAACTATCATGTTGACTTTCATCCCCCACTTCTACTCATAGTAGGCATTCATAAATGCTGCCTAAATGACCTCTCAAGTCCCTGGTCTAAAACTCTCCATCCTTGCACCCTGTAGAAAAATATTTCCTAGAGGTCAGGCAAATGTTAGTTCAGATCTCATCTAAGCCATGTAAAAACTGTGATATGGGCTGAATTGTCCTACAAAATGCATATGATGAAGCCCTAACCTCCAGTACATCAGAATGTGGCTCTATTTCAAGATCAGATCTTTAAAGGGTGATTGTTAAAATGAGGGTATTAGGGACTTGGTGGATCACTCAGTGGTAGAGCACTTGCTTAGCAAGTACAAGGCTCTAAGTTTGATCACCAGCACCACTGAAAAGTAAGAGGGGAATGAAGCCATTATGTTAACCCCTTATCAAATTTGATGTTATCTTTATAAGAAGAAATTTGGACCCACAGACTCTAGAGGGATACCCCTGCCCGACACACACACACACACACACACACACACACACACACAAATACGAAAAGCCAATGAACACAGTAAGAAGGTGGTGGTCTAGAAGTTGAAGAAAGGCTTGAGAAGACACCAAACCTACAAAGAACTTGTCTTGGACTTCTAGACTCCACAACTGTGAGAAAACAAGTTTCTATTTTTTAAACCACACAATCTGAGGTATTTTTCTATGGTAGCTGTAGCATACCAAGACACTCTGTTGTGCTAGACAGGTTTCTTCACTCATGACAGCCTCAGTTCCTGCCAGCAAAATGGGAGTGCTATAACTTTTTTAGGATAGATTTGAGATCACAGTTCTAAAGTGAAACGCCTAGGAGGTAATGGCACTCAAACTAGTTTTTGAGTGAATGACTGGCAGGGTGAAAATGCTGCATGTGAAGTTAAATTGAAGAATGTGACAGATCCTGGAGCACCTGATTGAGCTCCTGCAGCGTCTGAGAGAAGGCAAGTTGGGAAGAATTGTAGCTGCTGCATCAGCTTGGCCTACTGATAGGATGTAGCTCTGTAACAATAGCAGTCTGAAAAGGAATAGTTAAAGCATTTGATCTAAATCAGCTTTGTTTCTGACTAAGAGCTAAATAAAAACAATTAGCCAGTGTGGCCATTTGAGTGATATAAGTGCTTTTAACATCAAAGCAATGCTCTTGAGTATGAAATGCCTTTGAAGGAATAGCAACTAAGGGGCATATATTGGATTAACAAAGAATTAGTTCTTTCAGATCCTGTTGAAAAGGCTCTCTATTAAGAATGAAAACAGTAAAACAGACATATTTTAGAATAATAATAGTAAGGACTTAAATAGTATTTTCTATCCATAAGGCACTGTTTTAAACATGACACATATCAGGTTATTCATTCTTCCAAACCATTGTTACATTTACCAATGAAGAAATAAGCACAAAAAAAATTAATCTTAATGTGCCCCAAGGCAATATATCTGGTAAGTGCAAAACCAGTATTTAAACCTTCATTGCATCTATGGAGACTCATATGAGTTGACCAAGAAATAAAATAGAGTAGGAATGTTACTAGTTTTCAAAGAGAAGTATACAATAGATCTCCCATTGCTAACAATCTTTGGTAAAACTGTGCCACAATACCTAAACCTCACTGTGCTCCAAATAACTGCCAGACTTGTAAACCAAGTTATTAAGTGATCACATGTATCAAGACTATTATAAAAATTATTGATTAGTATGCAGACTGCATAAACTCTAATTTCCTAGGCATCACCTTGTTCTTTAATATCTTCTTTTACTTTCCATTTTTCTACTTTCTTCTCCTCTTTGCTCTTTCAACCTACCTCTTCTCTAAAATATTCAGTTGAACTATATGAAAGAGCCTATATTCAACCATGTTTGAAAAATTATACTTTCATTTGGTTCAAGTAATATAAGAATCACATTTTCCACTTTTCTATTATAAAGTCGTATAGACATCTAAAATTATAGTCATCATAATGCATATTATTTCATTGATTACAAAAGTAATAAGATTCAGGATGGTTTCCTATAACACACTAGTTAGGCAGAACAGACAAATTATCATGTACATAAAAGAATACCCTTTTATCTAAAACAAAAGTTTGATAACACATGATTAAAAGTAGAAAACAAAATTTTATTTGATGAAAACCTTTTAAAAGTTCCAGTATGAAGTAACAAAATCAACAACCTACAAATCTTTCAGTCCTTTGCATTTCAAGCAAAATATTCTCTTCAGAAAAATGACCATTTCATAATATATATCCCTTTCTGTAGGCTAGACATGTGTATGTGGACAAATGGATATAAAATTCAAGAGAAAAAAAATGAAACTATTTTAAAAATAAAAGTCTGAACCCTCTCCTTGAGGTGTATTGCAATATGGTTACCAACATATCCAGCACCTTGTAATCACCAAGCTACTGTTGTAAGTCCTGGAACAAACCCCTAAAATGAAAGAACAAGAGATCCTAGTTGTTTGTGAGTCACAGGTTGGCAGCAGAAGAAGAACTGACAGCAGCTAGAGAGGAGCTCAAATACATGAAATCCACACTTCCAAAATATTTAACTCACTTCAAAAAGACAATTGGATCAAAAAAAGAAACAGCTCAGAGTTAGAGTTTAGAATGTGGAGAGTGCCCTCTGAGTGACCTGGGCATTCTTGATGCATCTTCAAAGCCATTATTAACATATGATGCCATTCTAGGGATCAGTCAAGTATCAGAAAATCTCCCTGCAAGGTAGCTTGGGTACAGAAACTTCAGATGCCACTGTTCTTCTATTCTATCACTAAGCCAGGTTTATTCTAGACTTACAGAAGTCTTCAAAACCTAAGGTTCTTGTCAATATTTGATACTAACAGTCAGGAAAGTCATGAAGGAATCAATGCACTAAGTCACCCTTTACACCAATAGAAAAGACCAGGTTTTTTGAGTCTTTCCTCTTTTGCCTCTTTATTGAGAATCCTGAGACAGTTAATCAGGAGACAAATGAGGCAAGCAAAATACTGCTATTAGTGAAAGAAGTACTAGACTCAAAATAATTTTAAATGAGCTTTAACCATGAGCAAAACCTAGAAATTGGCAGCCCCCATTTTTTAAGGGTAGACAAATGCTTTACATCTTCATCTTAGGAATAAAACTATCTGTAACAAATTAGCTAGGGATCGAGTCATAAATCACTTCATGCTTAAGTATTTCAAATCTTGATGCTGTTAAGTGAATTTGTGTTTCTGTTTAGAAATAGTTGTAAATTTTGGGATTTTTATGAAACTTTTTGTCTAGATTGTTTACATACTCTTAATTTTAAAAGGGCAATAATCTGTGCTTATCTGCTTATACATCTGAAATCGCCCATGATAATCATATATAAGCTTATTTATTAAGAACTATAAGGTTATGCTTTGTACCACAAGATCTGTTCTATTAATGTAGACGTTTCAACCTTCCACTATCGTATTGCAGCCCTGTAGGTAAGCTGTGTGGATGACACCATGCGGAGAGCCCAGCAGGGTCACTCATCCCCATCATAGTCGCGGTAGCCCTGGTAGCCACGGTTCCTTCTCTCATGGATGCTGGACATCTTTTTCCATGATGAGTCCTGATGGAAACTGGCACTGAAGGACCGGCCCAGATGCCCATGCTGCTTCTTGGAGATATTG